TTTTTGAATTGGCATACTTGACGTATATAGATCCATTCATTCTAAGAATCTTGAAATGTATTTTAACAAGAACATTACACTTAACATAATTGGATTGTGTAAATGCATTTGATACATGTACAACCCCCAAAAAAAAAAAAACAAGAAAAGAAAAATAAGAACATTAATTATTTATTGGTACACATTTCAATTTCAAATTATAGTAGGGTCTTTAGCAATTACGCAATATATAGTTTTTTTTAAAAAAAAAAAAAGTTGTATTAAACTTTAGTAAAATCAGCCAATCACGAGGGATAGTCAATACAAGACTTCGCGTGATTTTGTTTGTTTCATTTTTTTTCCTTTCAAATTAATATATTAATAACTGTTCCATCCCAGTATACTTTTTTACATTTCTAACACACCCTTTTACATTCCTAATACAAAAAATACCTAAAAACACACACTAAAAAATGAAACAAACATACCCTTAATTTTTCAACTTATAGTGTAAGTCAATTGATGAATCCATATATAACTAATTATGACTTTTAGTTTTTCTGCAGAACAAGTGACTTATCCGATAGTTAGTGATACCAATATCGAGCGTATTGAAAATTTCATAACTTATGTTGGACATAATGGTAAGGAAACACAGTTGTTGATTCATTTAGAGAATTATAAGCCCTTTACTGCCTCTTTGTCGATTTGTTTTTTTTTTTTTTTTTGAGTTTCTGATTGGTTTGATCCATTCATCTGCATGATAATAAATAAAGTTTGATATATATACCTGGATTCGCTTGAGTCCGGCACCGGAGAGAAGATTAGAGGGCCAAATAGCTCTACCTTGGCAGCCAAATCTGCTCCACCACCACCTTGCAACTCCACCGTGATCCCCGACGACGTTTCTGTCATCCCACTCGGTGCCTCAATCTGGTCATAATGAAGACACGCTTGATATTCATACATATTTGACAATGGAGGCATTAATTAATTAAGTAACGCCATTAAATATTACTTTGGTAAAAAAAATCCAAAGTTATTGCAATTCAAATAATCGTAACACCCTACTTAACTACAAGTGAGATGAACACGTACGGGAGCTACTCATTCAATGAATCTAACGACTCAGATAATTAATGGTGTGATGAAATTTTTTTTTTTTTTTTGAAAGAAAAAGAGTGTTTTATTACGATTGTTGAGAATCGTCCAACGCGATTAATGGTGTGATGAAATTAATTAACGGGTTTCATGTTATGAATCGATAATGGGGGGAAGTTCAAATTGTTCCAAACACTTTAATATGATTGACACAAAACAAAACAAGCAATATTATGATATAAATAGTTGAATCATATATATTTTTTATACCGGAATGTCATCAGCAGCTACATTGGGAGGGTTCACAGAAGAATGTACATCCCAAAAAAAATCCCACCACTCCTTCAAGAATCCATCAGGGCCAGCATCAATACCTGAGAAGATAAACTTACGTGATTCCAAAATGTATTTTAAATCGAAATGCATAAAATATTGGACTGAAATATATTTTTATTGGAAATGGAATTAGTACACAATGATAATAAGTTGCATTTCATGTGGTGCTGTAAAAAGCATAAACAAGTGGTTAACATAAAATTCAAAGAGGTTTTTTTTTTTTCGGAGAAGAAAAATAAGAAATTAAGTAAGAAAATGTACCAATTTCATGCTTGCTAAACTCAGATTCCTTGGCGAATGTCTCAGCAGCCTCGATCAAATTCTTTCTGATCATGTAATCGTGAATATATTTGTCAAGTCTACAAAAATAATGAGAAAAAAGAAGTATTACTCATTGAATTGTTTTCCAATTGGTGGAAATTGCGAGGGAAAAGAAAACCCTCACGAAGAAAAATAAAACAAACAAATTACACAACCTTAAAATAACCCCCCCCCCCAAATAAATAAATAATAATAATAATAAAAACAACTCACAGTTGCTGTTTTTGATCATTCCACGCGGCCATGGTCACTACAATGGAGTACCCTTCACGAAACTGCAGTAAATAAAATAAATAGGAAGATGATCAATATCCATAACAAAAGGTTAGACTGGACATACCCTCACAGATCATATATATTAGTTCATGAGAGAGCATCTTAAAGGAATCGCGTGTTAGAAAATAAGTGTTTTTAATTCGAATAATCTTAATTTATCAGATAATTTTATAGGAATCGCAAAAAAATAAAAAAATAAAAAAAAAATAGATCAACAGGGACATGATAAAGTTGAAACAAACAATCAACAAGGGAAGATTAAAAGTAGAAAATGGAACTCAAAAAGGGGGAAGGAAAAGGCAAAAGAATAATAGAGATATGGAGAGGAAGAGGAAGAAGAAGAAGGTGAGAGTGGTGAATCCATTCTGATATGGCAGGCAACCGTTACGTGTTTGAGCTTTGAAGAGAGAAATTATTTTAAGAAAAAAAAGGGATCTAAAATTTCTTTTCTGTTTTGGTTTTTGGGGAAATAAAGAAAAATGGTACTCCTTTTTTCCCGCCGATAAAGACAACATTTTTGGCGTACGGAGAATGTGTACGGATCTTGTTAATGAAACAGCGGGACCTACTCGTCAAACTCTGGTCTTTGAAATTTGTATTTTTCACAATTTAGAAGATTTTGTTTTTTATGTTAAAACTTTTTTGACCAGTTTCGACTTTAGTTTGCAACCCATGCGGACATTCACGTTGAACATGTTTTTCAAACCAAAAGTTTCAGAGCAAACTAAACGTGATTCTGAACAAATTAAGGATTAGTTAATCCTTAAATGATAGGGTGATGAAATAATTGTTTGGATGGGCAAAGTGGTAGAGGATTAGTACTGTTACATTTATGTAGGATTTTAAAACCATCTGAGGAAAAAAAAAAAAAAAGACCAATTATTTGAAGTGGATTTCATAGGTTGGAAGAGATTGAAGTGTTAAGACTGTCATGACCAATCCCAGATCAATTGAGAATTTTGTATATAAATCCAAATAAAAATTTGACGATCTAAATTCAAATTTAAAACACCGAGTCAACGTATTCATTTGCATGATCGATTTGATTTCAATACATAAATTAATAATTTGGTATGGACTGAAGTTTCTTAATCATGCAACCAGTCATACAATTGCTACTACTTAATTAGTGTATTGAAATCAAAACCATCATACAAATAGATACGTAGACTCAGCCTTTTTTTATACCTGATGATGAAATCAGATTGTCGAATTCTCAATCCTAGATCTAGTCATAACAGCCTCTGCATAAAACCGACTTGAAAAGAAACAGTCATTTTCCAAAGAATGGAGAAAACTTTAAAAAAAAATGGGTCAGAAAATTTTAAAACTGTTTGATCCAAGTTTGTCTTGCAATGGAAGCACATAATTGACCATACAAAGCAACGGAATCTCAACTGGACGTCTAAAATCAGTACTGAAAAGGATGAGTTATGGTATAAATTCTAATTCAGTTGTAGTAGGGGATATAATGCATACCTTTGCCTAGCGCCGAAAAAGCTGAAAGAGAGGGAGAGAGCTCAAAACCAAAAGAGCCGTCAAAGCTAGGATGAACAATGTGGTTAGTTTTGTGTTGGTTTATATACACTGGAGAGAAATGGAAATTAATTGTCAGCCTCCAGAGATAAAGACCCCAACTTTATTCTCTGGATGCACAAAATCTGTAGTGTTTATGACCATTTTCTTATTTTTTTCTTAATGGGTGTCTTTGTGTCAAGATATCCATTTTTTTTATTAAATTCGTGGTAAAAGAAAATGCAATGGTAGAGAAACTGAATTTGTCCTTGTTCGGGAAAGTAACAAAGGGAATTTAACTCCAACAGCATCAGCATTGAGCTGCAACCAAAAAAAGTCGTCAAAAAGTAGTAGTAAATTCTGGTACATTGTTTGGAATTTTTGCTTGGAAGTATTTTCCCTTTTCAAGCAATGTCTGCATTGCATGCAGAGGAGATACGTGGTTAAATTATCGGTGTAGAAGAGTATAATTGCTCCGGCAGTCCTTCAATTTGGGGTGCTGGTTCATTGCTGTCACTAAAGAGTATTTTGTCAAGAGGAATGACCATGATTTTTTTCTTTGCTAGAATGGTTTAGAGATTGATGTGACACGTACAAGTGCATAACATTATAGGATATTAGCAACTTTTTTTATATATATATCACATTATTTATTGAGTTATTATGCTAGATGCGAGTCCAATGTATCTATTCGTTACTCTCGTCTTGCAACATCAATACGAGGAGTTTCCATTTTTTTTTATGAAGTTCACGTCCTTTAATTTTTAAATCACTCTATTTCTAGCTTACCTAGTAAGACGATATTTAATTGACAAAAACAAACAAATAAAGATAAAGAAAAAAAGATGAATTAAAATGTATAAAGGGTTATCATTATATCATAGAGAAAATTTTTCATCCTCTATTTTTTTTTATCTCTTGTATTTATTTAAAAGGCCTTTCGTTGTTATTTAGAAATGCTGTCTATTTGAAAAATGAAAATCCAATGGAGACTACCAAATTTATGTAATTTTCGGAGACTAATAAGTAATGTAATCAGGTACCTGCAGCCTTGAAGTGAATTTAATGGATAATACATGGAGGATCCTCCAACAAGAAGCAGAATTTATTGAATATAATACATGGAGGATCCTCCAACAAGAAGCAACTTTTACTGAAAAATAAAAGCCTTTATGAGCATTGCTGCTCATAATGAAGAGCAATTCAACCTAAGATTGGTCAAAATTAAGTGCCATTAATACTCACAAATCTACGAATGGATTGCCAGAAAAGTGGCTTATTTGGGAATTTTCTGATTTCACATTTCAGGGACATGTTTCCTTACCAAGGAGGGAAATGTATGAAATTTCAGTTTCTCAACAGAAAAATCATTTAAGGAAATGTTGCTAATGTAATTTAAGGAATATCTTGAAGGGATTTTTAATGTGTTTAGTAAATTTGTTGTAAAAAATAGTAAATATTTTTGTGTTAATCTCTGAAGTAAAAATGTTTAACCAAGCACAAAAACTAATGCAAAACGAACAGTGCTATAATCAAACAATAGAGACTTGAATTTAAGCTCAATCTCGAGAAGACGTAGTTTTAAAAGAAAATAGAGAAGTGAGGTATATAAATTAAAAAAAAAAACTCATTCTCAATATATATAGTAATAGCAGCTCTTCCCTCCCCAACAGTGGCTATATAATTTTCCTCAGCAATGATGAAATTTGAAGGAAACTGAACAACTCAGCAATACATCTTCCTCTCCCAATGTTAGGTACATTCTGGATGCTACAAATATAATCCTTATTGTTAAAAACTGCAGTTTCCAACATGGTTACTTGAAGTAATACAGTACAGATGCAGGGTCAGATGATCCAAGATTAAAATACTAATGCAAATTTCATCATATTTTAAACTGGAAAATAAGAGAACAGTTAGAATTAATAAACTTTGAATGGAACTACCAAACAAAAATGTGTTACGTAATGGAAAAATCTGATCATAGAGCCCAAAAATCTAGTGGGAGAAAGGTTTAGCTGTTCTTGAAGAATCAATCTCTTGGGGAGGCAGTCACTAACAAAATTAGAAAAACTGGATCCTTGAGTTTTCTCCTACCTCCTTGTTGCAGATGCTCTACTAGTTGGAAAAAGGCATCCGTTTCCAAACTTCATAGTCGTTTCGCTTGCAATCTGTAGTTTGCATCAAGTAAAGGAACTTTAACTTTACTTATTCTTCGTATCATCCCCAGCATTTTTGGGTGCCAAACCCATCTCTTGCATTTGTTGTTCCACTGAAACCAGACCAGTCTGTTCGAGAAAGCTGCACAATAACAGTAGACGAATAATGAACCAACATTTCGTCCCATGCCATATACTCCCGTAATTACACTTTCAGCAGTATACAGGTTGAAAGACCAGAATGCCAAACTCATAAATATCTCCTAAATATAAGATTTGTCACTTTTTCCCACCCTAGCAGAGAAATATTCGACATTTATCATGTAGAATAAGGCAGATAAGATCAATGGCCAATAAAGATGCTCTCAAGAAGATACAGCCAGTAATGATACTGTGAAGGAGACAGAGTCTGTATGGTTATTATCCAAGATAATATCATAATATTTTAGACTCTTGACAAGCTATTGGACAACACCATTAAAGCAATAAACAAGTAGTCTTAACTTTCGAGGTATAAGGTAGCAATTGGTTAGAATTTAGCAGAGCCTCGTATATTCTACAGAGTAAGCACCATCTATGATAGCAGAACTTGTCCATTGTCATTTTCATACACCTCAAAGGCAATCAGACTTGAAGGGCTTCTGAAAATAGTAAAACTTCATACAGAACATGAAGTGTCTCTCCCAGAAATCAATCCTGTCTCCATAAAATTTCCCTTCCAAAGCAGCATCCTTTCAGTTCTCAGTTGGTGAAACCCAGACCACATACCATATGATAACCTAGCTTCAACAGATCATCAGGAAATGCTGTTCTGTCTTTCTCATTAAATCCATACATTAAAGAGCAACAAAAAGTTGCCACCAGATGACTTATAGAGGAAGTGGGAACTGAGTATGTCCATCAATATATCATATTCAGCCCTTGAACCCAACATTTCAATAGTAAAAATTATCAATCCATTTTGCAGAAATATATCCTCTGAACCAACACATCAGTGTGCTGCATGTGACCACCGGATCCCAAGTGCAAGTTAACATTTGAGAGACTTTGGGTCACTTCCAGCAAAATGCTTTATTGCGTATTCAGATATATGTTTCAGAAAGCCTATGAAGACAACAATCACATACCATAAAATAGACCTTTCAGAACAGGCGATTAAGCTGCCCATGCGACTGAAGCTGATTCACTTCAGCAACGAGGTTTGTTCAGTGGGAAATTAATTGAAGGAGATGATTCAATTTTAAGTTGTTTGGATATGGTACGTGAGGGTGAGGTTTGGAAAACAAATAACAATCCAAGCTGGACGCAGATGCTACCCAGAATAATAAGCTAAGTCAAGCGCAATACGAAATCTATAGAAACAAAAAAAATTCTTACATGTAGCAAATTGGAGCACACAAAATCATGAACATAAAGATTCCACTATGTAGTTTAACAGTTTCCCATAATAGACAATCAGATTTTTGGATCAGACAGTAGTTTAACATTCCACTATCTGACCCAAAAATCTGGAACCTCGTCCATTCCAAAAGAGAGTAGATTCAAAAATCAGATTTTACATATGATGCCCTACCATTAACAACCACACTTCCGATATAGCAAATTACTTTCACTTCAAATCATTAGAATTTGCAATAGAAAATTCAAGCAATTTGCAGACTGAACTGGACTCGAATTCCATTCTAAATCCCATCCGCACTAAGATAAAAAAAAATACAAGTGAATAGATTACTGAAAGGGTTTCAAAGTGTAGAGATTACACACCTGTTCAAAAGAAAGAAAAGAGTGCCAGTGATTAAGACAAGAACAACAACATGGAGCGTCATTGTCAAATCACTTGAGGAGAAAGCTAACCCCATCATGGCAACAAGACTCAGACCCAGCATCAAAAAAGCTATCTTTAACGTGTTCCAAGTGGGACTCTGCAACAAAAGCAAGAAGAGATCAAAATCTAATTACAATCACAAATGAAAAGAAAGGAAAAAGGACACAGAAAAACACTAATAGAGGACAAAAGTATAAGATTTGGGAATTGGGGAATTCTACGGACATTCACACCAGGAGCTAAGGCTCCGATTAGTACTGCCTGAGCAGTTGATAAATCCTCCCTTCCAGAGCTCTTCGTCTCCATTTATGGCAGAGCTTTGGGTTGTCTCTGGATGAATCACTGGTTCCGCAACGAAGAGTTTCTGGGGTTTTGACTTTTGAGAGAGAGGGAAAATGTCAAATTACCTTGGGGCAAATCCTATTTATATTGGGGAGAATCGTCAACGACTCAATTTGTTTGGAGTAAAAAATAAATAAATAATTACAATACTAGATTGCTCCTATGTATTTTGTATGTAGCAAGTGGAGGATTGATTTTAATTTTATTTTTTCTTTCAATTTTTTTGTTTTGTAATGTATTGCTTTGCTTCCACCTTTTTCTTTCTTCTTAACAAAGTTTAAATTACCATTCTTGTCATTCTTATGTTTAGCCCAATGAATAACTTTAAAATCGTATAAAGTATTATTTTCATTCTAAAATTCCTATCTAGTTTGTTGTATTATTAAGATGAGGTAATTTAATGATGCTACGTTGGAATGGAACCATTTGAACCGTAAGATATTTGCAAACTGCAGCTATAAGCCTGTAACATATTCTTGGAACCTTTACAAATGGAGAGCAAGCATTCATCCGTCATGAAAACTGAAAGATGAAAAGAGGGCTCGCCGATAGCTACTCTCAACCTCATATGATTTATCACTTCTCAAGTACAATGTAGAAACACATATTTACATTTCAGGTGTAATACACTCAATTTGGGTACTTGTAACCCGGCACAGATATTTCATCCTCGTGATGCTATCAATCATGATGAAGCAAAGACAACTTCATGAACATAGAACACAAACTTCAAATCACCAGATTAGTTCAGTTCCCCAGAAATGTTGGACTTCTTTGAGGAGAGTGTAGTTGCCATTCTTTCTCCTTGAGATATTGCAGAAGTGGCGGTTGCTCGGCTCTAGTGTCAGTAACCGCACCACATATATATGGTGATGGTCTTGGGTAATTGAGGAGGTTATCAGTTCTTCGTTCATCTGCACCATAAACAAGAGGAGAAACTGGATGCAATGGAGGGCTCTCCATGTAGAATGCTGAAGCAGAACCTACAGGCTGTCCCCATTGATTGAAAAGATCAAACCTCGAGATATCACTGGCGTGATAACTTAATGGAGGTCCTGGTCCATTCACATTCACTGGCCATATATGATTGTTAGCTTGCTCAAGTTTGTGACTATTTCTGTAGTGATAAAGCCATTCGGAGGAGCTCATTCCCATGACCGGAGGATATCCATGTACTAATCCTGGAAGAACAGGGCTGAAATCCAGTGGTCCATGTGGTGCAGACACACTGGGGTATAAACTGGTTGGCGCAGCACCGAGTATACCATCAGCCTCCCTACTCCCCACGGTGCTGTTGTAATCAACAAAACCTGATGAATTGCCCCTAAACCAAGTGGCATCATCAGGCAACAAAGGGGCCGAAGGCACTGGAGCAACATAGGCAGGAGGAGCATTTTGTGTATTTGTTGTAACACGGACAGCATCAGAAGCTGAGTCATTGGTGTCATCAATTAACAGACTGGCCAAGGATTCAACAGCTACTTCCTGAATAGGGCTCAAGTCATGTTTATTGAAATTCTTGAACCCTGGCTGTAACTCGTAGTTAGCATTTTCTCTATCAAATACCCAGGCATTAAGGGAGGGAGGTCCAGCAGCAAAAGTTGGGAGAGCATCCTGCTGCTTAAGTGGTTTGCTATACCTTAAACTCGAGGTGTCAGAGGGAACACCTAATCGATCACTTGGTGGCTGGTTTTGCCCAAGAAACATTGATGTCGCTCGACGCAAGCTTTCATCAGCAGATTTGCTTGGCTCCTTCAGTTCTCTTATACGAAGTTGATCCTCATTTTTGATATACTTGCATAGTGGTGCCGAGTTGTGTCGTATAATGGGCTTGAAGAGAATTATTTCTTCTTCTTCGGTAGGAGCAGGTGAGCTACCTTGATTTTGTCTTTCCCCACATGAATTCTTTTCTTCAACTTGAGCTTTCCTATGATTTTCTTCATGATGCTCCTTGGTGTAGAATTTCATTCCTTTTCTATCAAAAGAGATCCATGGTCGACTATAATTTGATTGGTTTGCAATTCTCATTCCTGACTGAAAGAGGCGTTGAGAACGCTTGCTATTCAAATTTTCTGTCCATTCCCAGTGAGTTGTGAAATTCAGAGAAATGTGAGCAGGCAAGATAGGTTCAAAACCCCTCAACTCATGATCTTCCCAAAGGGCTGATTCATCCGAAGCAAGTGCAGCTTCGCTAATGCCCAGTCTGTTAAGTAGATCTGTGAGTACACTGAAGAAATAGGAGATGGCACAAATCACCTTCTCATCAGTAGCATGTGCTTCTAATGTGTCCAGTGTTCCCTCCAGCCATTCAACAAAAACCATGACAGCGGGTAAAAGAGGGCAGTTTTCAAGTTGATTTCCTTGTACACATCTCTCAACTAGGCGAGCAATGCAAATGAATGTAGCAACAAGGGCCAACTGTGTCAGAGAAGATTCTTGCTCCTGATGGTCTCCATTCAACTTCACCCATTGAGGTTCTCTAGATAGGGTATGTAAGATGAAGATAAATACAGAAACGAGTTGAAGTGCACGAAAAGGGCCTCTCCTGGATGAATCTATCAGCTTATATGAGTTGAGAGCAGACATGAGTTGCTCATCATCTAGTTGTACAAAAGCCTCCATATGTTTGACAATGGAAGAAACAACACCCGGGAATTCCTCCAAACTGCATGAGCTTAATGCATAAGCAAAAAGTGGGGAGAACAAAACAAAATTATTCGATATGAAAGTAAAACCAAACCAAAATTGGTGCATTTGTAGAATAGCTACATTTTTCCTTGCCCTCCAGGTTTACGAGGTTGCAGGCCATGGCATTAATTTACTGAACACGCATGAATATATCTTCATGCATGGAACAATACAAAACAAAATTAGGCAAGAATCTAACATTTAGCATACTAGCTTTTACATAATTGGATACAGAACTCTCTGATGGGTACAAATAGTTAGATTACTATGAGGAAAAACATGTAGAATTACTTAATGTGAAGGCAAATGATTCTGACAAAATCTAAAGGCCAATATCCCATAAGTGGCAAAACATGTCCATCAAACTAAATTGACATGTAACATGGTACAGGATTCAAACAGCACTGCAGTGCACTAATTACCTGGATCTCCGTAGAAAGAAACTTGTCAATCTGACAAAAAGTGGCCAAAGTGCAGAGCTCGTATCAGAAAGTCCATTTGCACTTTCCAAATTACTGTTATCTGAAGAATCATCAGCAGATTGTGATGCCAAATGCAATGAGATTTTCTCATATGGTTTCAAGAAATCAAGTTGTTCCCCATTAGAAAGTGAGGTAACCTGAAATGACTTGCTCTGCAGAATCAAAATAAAGTACCAAGCTTCTGAGTTACGAACAAAACCAGCCAAAAAGGTGTGAATAGAAAGAAAAAAAAAATTTAATATATATATATATATATATATTATACATATACATATAACAAGAGAGATGTAAGGGTTAAGCCGTTAAGGAGTTAATCAATCAAGTATGACACAGACAGCCAGCAGCTCTTACCTCTTCAAAGAGTAGCATGAGGTTATTCCAGGCATCAGGAAATGGTTCCTCAACAGCCAAACTTCTTGTGCAATGATACAAAGCAAGGAAAGAATCATTGACATATGTTGCCAATAAAGTTAGCTGCAAAACAAACCTTCACTTGTCAGATTAGATGTAGAAATAAGGTAGATAATTTGTATCTAAAAGAAAAAAGGTAGGTCACTTGTATGCATAGTCACAGCTTCCAACAAAGTTAAGCTTGAATGTTGCCTACGTGTCTTACTAAGAGAATTAGACCAGTATCAACAAAGATAACACACCATCGTGCAATTTTATATCTAACATTCATGGCAAGTAAAAATAAATACTCAATCTCCAAATAAGTAAAGCTTTAGTCAATTCATACGATAATATGCAAAACCAACCTGATTATGAGGATTGCCACTAGCTGGACATATTCTGCTTGCTTCCACATAGCAAGTAAATGCTACCAACCATTTAGAGTCAGCCTGTTTCTTGAAAAGCTCCCCATATCTGGCAATATCGCCAAGACATATTAGGAAGCGATGGCAGGTAAATCGGCACTTGTTCAATTTCATAGTTTCCACAGATTTCAGACTGGCCCTATTCTTATGAATAAAGAGTTCCCCTGGCAGACCACAAATTTCTCTGAACTTCCTTATAAGATTCTGATAAAATTCAGCTGCCTCTGACAGAAATGACTTAAAAGCTTCAACATGTCTATTAATGTTACGAGATGTTTCAGCACCAACTCGGGGAGCTTCTCCTTTAATAACCTCTCCACTGGATGGTCTTGGTCGAATGCTCCTACGAAACTCATCAATGTGCTTATAGTGAAGCTTCCACAAAAGGTGTTCAACTTCTTGGAGCTCCATGGCATCATGATCATTCAGAATGACACTCTCATAACCATCTCTCACTTGGTGGTACAATTCTTGAACATCTTTATGCAGCAGACCTTTTGTATGAATCGATGCCAGTAACTGCTTCTCTATATTAAGAACCTGTAGCACGAACCACTATCAGTGTAATGTAGTTTCAACGTGCATATAAAAAGAAACGTAAAATGGAGGAAATTATGAGATTTTGGAACTTCTTTAATAACCTGGACAAAGGTGTTCTGTCTTTGCTGCTGTTCTTTAAGTGCCATTGCTGAATCAAGCTCCATGAAACCTTAAAACTATACTTCGTAACTAGTGGCGGGTTTCATAATTCAGGCAAAAAATAGCCTGAAAACAAACATAGACAGTGCTCAATAACAGGACAATTACGTAAAAAGTTGGAACAAGGCTGTGGAAGGAAATTTAGGTAAGATCATAATGATCTTCTTTCCTTAAAATGTACAGACATCCATTTTCCTATCAAACTACTCTAAATTTGATCTTTTTCTTGCAAATAGTAACAGATTCTTCAAAAAAAAAAAAAAAAAAACCAGAAGTGGAAATACTCTCTGTCAATTTAGCTGTGAATCCATGCTAGGTTAGAAAAGGAAAGAAGAAAGAGAAAAAACCCCAACCAATTTCCAAGTCTTGACAAAAGTCAAAATATTAAAATTTTGGGACAAATGTCAATTAAACAAACACACTATCATCATCCACAATAAAATACATGAATAAATTATTTGCAGCTAAAACAACTTGTCCGCCGAAGAAATATCTCCCAGACTCCCACTACCCAGAAATCATGATCATCCTGACCCTTACAGACAGATAATTCAGCTAAACCTCGCACATGCTAATATTAATCAAGCACAATTAAGTCGAGAAACTCAGTCAATTAATATTACAAAGAGGTAGTTAAGAAATCGTTAAACTCTTCACTTCAATTCAAGAACATTAAACCGAAAAATGATCAGGGGTTTTTAAGCAACAAAAGTGGTGTGATCAAAGAGAATCGAAGTGATAAAGAGCCCAAAAAAAAAAAAAAAAAGTACCTGAATTAAACTGTTAAATTTCAAGTTGAGCACAAATCTGAAACAGCAAAAGCAACAAAGATGATCTTTTTTGCGGAATTGAGACTGAAAGCGAACGAAGAAGGAAGCTATGGAGGGGAAGACGAAAGGTGCTTAAACAGAATGAAAAAATGAGAAGTAGTAATAAAAGACAAATGGAAAAATACACAAATTTCGAGAGAATTTTGGAGGTTATTTGGGGGTTTTTTTTGGCGTTTGGCCACCTGTTTTGGTTTTAGTTGTGAAACGGACAAATTAACAGGATGGCTGGTCTTAATGAAACTCTTTTTTCAAAAAGACTTTCCTATCCTTTTCTTCCAGTTTTAATTTATGGAAATAGCCTTATCACCATCCTTTTTTTAGTCATTTTCACATTAAAGATCGGGGAATGAACCTTTCAATTTAGCGATATGTGCATCAATAATCTCATCCTATTTAACAATGTCGGTGTTTCAAAATCATACTCCCTCCATTTCAAAATAGAGGTCGTTTTAAATTTAGAGAAATATTTCAAAATGTAGGTCGTTTTAGGATTTCAAGGCAAATTAAAAATTAATTTTTTAAATTTGCCCATAATAAATAATGCTAACTATTTTTCATCTAGTATTGGTTATAGTTCTAAAACAATTAATGATGGATAAAATAAATATTTAATACATAAATTAATTATTAAATGATTGTCTCCTTAGTATATGTGCAGAGTCTAAGTTAACTTATATTTTGAAATAGAGGGAGTAAAAAAAAATAGTCTAGGATGATTCGACGCTAGAGAATTGAATGAGACTGGATTTTATTTTACACAATTAGTGAAAATCATAGGTTCTTTCTTTTTTTCGCCCGCTACAGAGGCCTAAATATCAAGGACTTGGTGCTAATTTTATTTTTTTTTTTGGTTAATCTAGTCTCCCCAAATTGTATTAATTAGATAAACAGATGAAAAGTGCTTTTCTTAAGACCAAAAATTTCAAAGCTTGACAGGATCACTTGTCAATGAAGCTAACCCCACCATGATTGATTCCCTTTTAATAGTAAATTGCAAGTGGTAGAAATTAAATGGATTTTGGCAGTGTAACGTGTTGCTCTAGGTAAACTAATTTGCAAACTATTACTGCTTCAATACTAATCTCATTTGTATGATCGTACAAATATCTTAAAAATATGACGTAGTCTTATTATGGAGGGCATGAAAAAGTGTTTCGAAAATTCATTATATTTTGAAGATTAATCCTAAATTAAAACATTTACTATAAATTATTTAGACGCGAAAAGAACATAATTTTTCCTTAAAGAATTTCCATTTTGACCTCTGTCGAGTATATCTAATAATGCATCATTTTCTATGATACAAAACGATCGTGCACAAAATCTTCCGTGACAATACACAGTCACATAAAAGGTTAATTTACAAATTATAAATAATATATACCTAGGACAGAAAAATCCAACTTTCCACTATATAAATATAATGGTTTGACCTTGTTCATTTGTTGTGATCCGCTCCACCAATTACGAAAGCATATTTATCATTATCAGTTCAGAATTCAGATGGGAAGCAAAGCAATTGATTACTGACTACTTTAGTATTCAGTTTTAAATTAATCATTCAAATGAATTGTTGCGTAGAATAATTTCTCTAAAATGATGGCCTATAGGAGAAATTGCAAACCAAGTTGGAAAGAAGAGTATAATGCATGCACCATTCAACAGGACACGAGTGTATGAATTGGTGGTAGTTGGTGTTAGGTGCATAATTTTGGTCCAAATTAATAAATCCGGTCATTAAATTGTTCTTTCTTGCAATAAATGTAAAGGTGACGGATACTTAATCCATATCATTATATCCATATCTAGGTGGCAATATTCATGCATCATTTCTCTGTTTGTTGAACTGAATAAATTTACAAATAGGACAACTATATATTGTATGACATTTAACCGGAGTGAGTTGATCATATCTTGAAAGAAAATAGAAATTAAATCTGAATAATTTTGATTCTTAATAGCTAGCGTTGAATTACCCAGACAAAAAGCACAAATCTGATAAAACAGATGCTTTTGTAAAATGATAAATTACGGCGCATGAGAATATTCCATGAAAATGATGAAAGTAAAGAATGTCAAAATTTGGGGGAAATATTGATGGCTCGATATTGATACCGAACTTTCACGTTTTAATAAGAAAACATACTTTCATTAAGATTATTGAAAGAGGTCCAGCCTCAAATGAGAAACAAAGTCAGAAACTTTCACGTTTTATTAGCTGAATGGATTAGAGTAAATGTGTAGAAAGGGGAAATATATACCTTTGTTTTGTATTTCTTAGAGTCCTAATTGTAGGGTAGGCCACAAATTTAAACGAATTTAAGTGTTAATTTATGCCTTACAATTATTACCGGAGACAGTACGATAGATTTGAAAGCGTGGAAACCCATTGAAGTATATGGTATTGATATTGTATATATATAGTACGTTATATTAGAATAATGTCCTCAAAACATATTATAGTACATTATATTAATATAATGTACTATAATATGTTAGAATAATGTCCTCATATACACTAACAAGATCATGTCCGTTGATCAATATTGGAGCAAAGAATCCAACATTGTCATCGTAAAAGATTATTATTCAACAAAGTTTTTTTTCTTTGAGTTTGTCAACGGGTTGTAGTGCTCGGCAACAAAGTTAACCAGAATTTTTTAAAAAAAATTAAATTTTGCCCGTTGATTTTATCGTGTAGATATGAATCTCGACAAATAAGTCGACAAATTTTTTTTAGATGAAATTCAATTCGTCGACTACCTTATGTAGTTTAAAATATCAACGAAATAACTGGCTCATGTTTTTCAAAAATCAAATTTGGCTCGTGGTATTTAACGTTCTGCTATCAATCTTGACGTATAAGTCGACTGAGCATAATCTCATTTGTTGACTTTGTTGTCAAGTTATACGTCTCAACGATGTAGTTGACCAAATTTTTAAAAATCAGATTTTACTTTTCAACTTAGAGAAAGTAGATGATATTTTGCTCTCCACTTCCTCATGGAGGAGATAGCAAAATTTTACTCTCCACTTCCTCACCGGGTAATACGTGTTCAATGGCAATGCCAATCGATGAATTTTTTTTAATTTTTTTTTATTTTGAAAAATTAAATTTTACTCTCAACTTTATTACCGAAATAAAACTTCAACAATAAAGCCAACAAGATTATTTTACAAACTAAATTTTATGAGCAGGCCATTTTATGGAGGACTGTAAAGCTCAATGAAAATGTTGATTAGGTTATTTTCAAATTAAACTTTCATTCATCGGCTTATCATCTGATTTCAACGACAAAGTTGATGTGAACTTGTTTTAGAATTAATTTTCATTCGTCGACTTCATCGTCCAGATATCAATCTGGACGCAAGAGTTGACGTGATTTTTTTAAATGAAAATTATTTGTCAACTACCTTCTCTAGGCTAAAATGTCGACGAAATAGTTGGCCAACATTTTTCAAAAGTTCAATTTGGCTCATAGCCTTTATTGTCTTGCTAACAATCTTGACCAACAAGTAGATGAGCATTTTATTAAATGAAATTTCATTGTTGACTAAAGTTATACATCTCAACAATGCCGTCAACCAAATCTTTAAAAATTAAGTTTCACTTTTCAACTTATCGATGGAGATAAGAAAATTTTAAAGAGATTGATGACAATGTCAATTGAAGAAGTTTTCTTTAAAAAAGAAAAAAGAAAAAAAAATTCACTCTCAACTTTATCATCGGAAAAATTCGGAATCTAGATTTTAAGATTATTTTTCAAACTAGATTTATGAACCCATGTTATGGGAGACTGTAAAGTTCAATGAAAATGTTGAGTAGGTTATTACTCAACTAAAATTTTAATTATCGGCTTATTCATTTGATTTCATCATCCAAATATCACTCCCGACGAAAAAATAGACAAACCTTTTTTTAAATGAGATTTTATTCGTTGACTACCTCGTCTAGGTTAAAATGTCGACGAAATAACCGGCCAACGTCTTTTTTAAAGATTAACCTGTGCTCATCGACTTTATGGTCCTGCTATCAATCTTGACGAATAAGTTGACGAGCATTTATATACTGACATTTCATTTGACGATTTTGTCGTCCAGTTATACATCTCAACCATGTAGTCGACAAAATTTTTGAAAATTAAGTTTCACTTTTCAACTTAGAAAAAACAAAAAGCTCATTGGGTTATAGCTTGTCGAAGACAATACCGATTGATGAATTTTTTTTAAGAAAAAAAAAATCACTCTTGACTTTATCATGGAATATAGATTTTATGATAAAATCGATAAGATTATTTTTCCAACTAAATTTTATGAGTCGACCATTTTTATGGGGGCCTATAAAACTCAATGAAAATGTTGACTAGGTTAGTTTCCAAACTCAAATTTCATTCATCGGCTTATTCATCTGATTTCAACGACAAAGCTGATCAGAATATGTCTTAAAATCAAATTCTACTCGTCGAGTTTGTTGTCACTACATGAAACCCAATAAACAAGTCAAGAATATCTTTTCAAATGAAATTTCTCCTACCAACTTTGTCGTTAAGTTATAAATATCGGTATTCATTGACTTTTTTTTTTTAGAAAGATATATCTCGACGAATAAGTCGAATGTTTTCTTTAAAAAAAAAAACAAAAAGAAAAATCAATTGATTCGTCTAACTTTTCATCAGATTATTGATCTTTGACAAATAAGTTGCAATAACAAATTTTCAAGCAAATTTCACTTTTATATTTTTAATTGCTCTATAGATCTGGACGACAAAGTTCTCTAGAATGTTTATCATTTTTTTTTTCATATTTACAGTGTGTACACCGTCGACAACAATGACTAATCCTCCTCGCTAAATTTTAGGCACCTCGATGGATGAGACAACTGAGCAAAATATTTAAGGGTACTCCATACCCAAGGCGAAGTTTGAACCCTCGACCTATGATTAAGGGTGGAGGAGTCCTTTCCACTCTACCACAACCATTTTGGTTAGAATTTTTATCAACTTTTAATTAGCCATCAACTTATAGATCTCTATGAACAAGTTTTTGATCCTTTGTTTCTTCGAACAAGATTTCAAACATCATCTTCGTCATCAAGTTATAAAGGTCGATGAGATTTTTTTTCAAATTGAATTTCAAACGTCAACTTTGTCATCGGGAATACTTTAACTCATTGATTTTGTCATCAACTTATAAATCTGGATAACAAAGTTAGATAGCGTATTTTTTAAAAATTGATTTTGTCATCAACTTATAAATCTGAATAACAAAGTTAGATAGCGTATTTTTTGTCATCAACTCTGTTTGTTTCTTTTTCCTCATAGTTTTTCATAATAATATAATAATATCTGTCTCATCCCAACATACATTTTTACATTTCCAATACACTTTTTTATATTCCCAATACAAAAAATACCTAAAAACACACACTAAAAAAACGAAACAAACATAGGTATAAACATTCTTTTCTTTTTAAAGGATGTACAACTAGATATACCATGTAGATGAGGTTATTTTTCCCACTAAATTCCATTTCTAGGCTTAATCATCAAGATATACAATCCAATGAAAACATTTAAAAGGTTATTTTTGAACAAAACTTTTCTGGTTGGATTTGTCGCACGTAGAGCTCGACGGCAACATTAACAAGAATTCTTTTAAAATTTATTTCACTCATTGACTCCAGCTATCATGCTTGATGAAAAAGCCACTGCGATTTTGTTTTAAAATAAAGTGTCATTCATCCACTTTTTTTCGTCGATTATATCGTCGACCTATTGAATCGATGCAAAAGTCGACGGAGTATTTTTTTCCATGAAATTTCAGTTGTAGATGTTTCCGTCACGTCAAAATTCGCATTATCTTGACGAAAAAATAGATGATCCAATAAAATTAAAGTTTAATTGTGTTCCCTGTCGGGGTAACTATTTTGTTCCAAAAGGAAAAAAAAATAAAATAAAAATCACTTAGATTTGGACGAATGAGTCACCATAAAGAAAAAAAAATTTCAAACTTTTCGTTAGTCGACTTTTTCGTTGGGTCATGGCGCTCAACAACAAAGTTTTCAAGATTTTTAGTCAAACTAAATTTACACGTCAACTTTGTGGGTTATATATATGTACGAGTAAGCCATGAACTTTTTTTTTTCAAACTAAAAGTCAATCATCGCCTTTGTTACCAAGCTATAGAGGTAACTTAAAAGTAAGTGAGCGCAATTAAATTTCACGTCGACTTTGTCATCCAGATATAGATGTCAACGAAAAGGTGGACGACGCTATTTTCACTCACTTACTTCTTTATTGAGCTAAAAAATTTGAGGGTTTATGAAGAAATCATTTGAGTTATGAAAGAGTTTTTGTGCAAAAATCAGATTGGAAAAATGCACATCGATAGTGAATTTTACTGTTATTCTACGAAATATGAGTAGTTTATTTTTTATTTTAGTTCTTGACCTCCTTCATTAATCAATATGCCAAAAAAGAGTAGAAGGTCTAAAGTTCGTTCGGTTTGCCTCCACGATGAGTTTTCTTTTTTAAACTAAAATGTTCACGGGTTGAGTTTGTCATCGCGCTAGAGTGCACGATGAACAATGATAATCAGATAAAGCTAGAAAATCAGGCTTGTGTTAGTTCCAAGAGTTCCTTATAGGGTTATATGTGCCATTTGCTTTTTAGATAGTTTGTTCAGTTTAAATAACAAACACACAGTAGCATTGTATTAAGGACTGAAGACTAACTACAACTCAGTATATGCGCAGATGCCCTCTTCACACTTAATTACAGCTCTATATCAGTTTTTTTTAACATTGTCAATCTTCAACGTGATCTGTGCATGTTCTTTGCCAATGGAGACTTGGAGTCATTAATTATCCCATATTTTCTTAGACAACAATGCGGACCTTAATTTATCCAATATCAGCATTACATTTGAGGTTTTAAACATACATACTATTATAGAGCATGTTTCATCTTATGCAAAAATTTACCTGCCCAGTCGATTGACTATAAGTCTGTTGACACCCTTTGGGTTTACTCAGATAATTAATGTGGGGAAAATATAAAACTCTGCAGCAGAGTAAACCGGGTATGTCGATTTCCCAGGTTATACCGGACCATCTTCTTTGGTCTTACACTAAGAAAACAAATCGTACGTATCAAAATGATCCCAGATGCACATGTAAAATTTCCCCATGTGTTCAGGCACCCAAGCTTGAAGATTATATACCCTACTTTCGAAATTATTGCCCAGATTGAATTTTCAATTTTAGTACAAATTAATTGACCTAAACATAAAAATCTAATTAAACTGCACAATAATTTTGGAAGGAGGGAGTATAGTGTATGATAGAAGAGCCATCTTTATTTGCCATTGTCCAAAAAATTGATTGGATATATATCTGACGGTACGAATTGTTACATTTAATTAAACCAATTCATCCACCTGTTTATAGTAAGAGAGGACAAAATCATGAAATAGTACTATTTTATGTAAGTCTTCATTAATAACATAATTGGCATATAAGAAGGCAAAGAGAATTAGGATGTCATAATTAGGGGTGTGTATGATTCGGCCAAAACCGGCCAAATCGGTCGAACCGTATAGATTTGGCAGGTTTGGAAAAAGAATTCTCAGTCAGCCGGTAGGAAAAATTTTAAACCAGACAATCTGGTCTGGTCAATGTTTCATTCATGAAACCGGCCGTTTTAGGCAGACCGGACTGTTTATATTTTTTTTAATATATTCATATATGTGTATTAATATATATTCAGTAATTTTAGTAAGATATCACAAGTTACACAGTAGCTTAATGAAAAATGTGGGGATTTCAATGTTGGAGGTCTTGATTTCGAAACGCTTCACCTTTTTATGAGGTGTTGGGATTTCATTCAATTGATGGAATTGGGCTTGACATTATATTAATTTGACTGAGCTCAACATGAAAGTTTCTTAGTCCCAAACTGCATAAACCAGTCAGACCGAACTGTCAAAATCCAGTCCGGTCAATTTAGTCTCAAGTTCTCTGCGGCCAGCCCCGTTTAGTTTAATTGCAAACCATATGTTCTGGTTTGGTTTCAGTTTAAAGGTTCAAACCAACCAAACCGGCCGGTGCACACCCCTAGTCATAATAATTTATCCTTTGTATGAATTAATTTCTTTTTTGGGAAAACTAGAGATATATTATAATGTAATTCTCACTGGAATATTATTACTAGTAATTATGCTACTAGTCGCAAATGGCATCCGCAGCTGACAATCAGTGTTATCAACCATTTTGTTCCATCCACAAATTTTAGAGATGATAAAGGAGGAAAAACGGGGTTAACAAGTATTAACATCTAGTCTCTAAAATCATTCCCCTAAATGTCCAACCATTTTTGTACGCAACCCCAGCCAAGCAATTTACATTCGATGTAATCACCCACGAATTATACAAAACTTCCCACATTTCACCAATTATTTCCTCTCTCAAAACTCCTGAACCATAAAATTGTTATTTCACTGTCTCTATCGTTACTCAGTTTTTAAGGAGAAAAAAGAAAACTTTATCTGTCCCAATCAATTCTGCAAACAACAAAATTAACAACATGGGCTTTGTTATACGTAGCCATTTAGCTGTGTTGCTTGCCGTACTGGCCATGGCGGTGGTGATGGCAGAATCGTCTTCGTTCGGCAGCATTAAAGCGTCCGGCTTCGACTTGCCTTTCTCCAAGTGCAACGGCCGGGTCGGGGACTGCATCGATGAATCGGAAGAGATGATGCTGGATTCAGAATCAAACCGACGTTTGTTGGCTCAATCTCGACGCATTAGTTACGGTGCTCTCAACAAGAACAACGTTCCTTGCAACCAACGCGGTTCGTCCTATTATAACTGTGGTTCGCATCAAGCCGTCAATCCCTATTCCAGGGGATGCACTAGGATTTCCAGATGCACAAGAAACACCAAATGAGATGAAGATAAAATTATTTGGTTTCGAGGAGCATTCAAAAAGGAACAATAATTTATGAGGTATATATGGATACATATATATATATATATATATGCATGTCTTTTTACCAGTAAGTAATTGTTACGTTTTTGCAATTTTGGGTTTCTAATGATTGTAAAGTGGGGTAGCTAGGGGGACGCAGAGTACGGTCACATCTGTTCAATTTTTTGTTATTAGTAGAGGTATCTTAAATTTTAATATAATACTATATATTGTATAATTTTTCGCACTCTTACATTGATTTTCTAGCCATTAATAGTTTTTTTTCCCCTAAATTTCACACCCTTTATATTGATTTTCTGACTTTGCCATCTCCTAACTCAGTTTTATTATAGGGTAGTTTGGTAAATGTTTCTCTACAATTGTTTTAGCAAACCGGAGAACACATATTTGTTTTGCAAAAACCGTATTCTGCTAAATGAAAGAGAATGCCTGGTTTTCATCTTATAATTACTGTTCGTGTATCTTTTTTACCCCGCGTAATTGTGATACAATACGATCGTAAAATTAACCCTTTTTTCCCGTTATTTTATCATATTGGTATACAGTAAAGCTTCTATAAATTAATAGTATGGGAACCATCAAAATTTATTAAGTTAGAGAATTATTAAATAATCGATAAATTAATAAATTATTAATTATTAATTTATAGAATCTCTATGAGAAAAAAAGAACCGTCACTAAATTTCTTAATTTGTAATTGTTTTTACATCCAAATGAATCAAGTATTAAAACTCTTTTGAATAGTAAAAGTCTATACGTAATTCATATCATCTCCAGGTACTAAAAAATAAGTATCAGTAGTTGATATTTTAAACTATTTATAGTTATTGTTTTGTTTTTTTTTTTGCCTTTAGGGTATTTATTAATTTACAATACTATTAGGACCTATAGATATATAGAAAATTTTTTGAAATATTGTTATATTGTCATTTTATCAATTTTTTTCACTTTTTGTACTGGTCTCAAGTTGGGACCAGAGAAAATTATTAATTGCTAAAAATTATTAATTTATAGATTATTAATTTATTGACGTTCTACTATGATAGAGTGGAGCTTTGTTCTTTAGTGATAAAATTTTTTTCCTAAAAAAAAAAGTGTACAATTCTTTTATTTCACAATTATTATTATTCTTATTTATTATTGTTATTATTATTATTTGATTCCCTTTGTCTTTTTTGTGAAATTTTTAATGATTTATATGTAAATGATATTTTGTTGTTTGGTTAAAATCAACTATAAAAGTGAAAAATTACCTTACTAAATCTCTAAAACATTTGCCATAGTCTTAAGATCGTATCTTATTACTAGACTAGAATTCATTTTCCAGCTAATTTTCCCTTTACACAATTTATATATCTTGTATGCTGGAATTTAATCATTTAAATTATAATTAATTAATGAAGGGTTCAGGGTTTGTGGTTGCCAGTGCAAATTTTAAATTTGCTAGAACTTGCAGGGTAAATTAATAATTCTGTATGTACAATGGGGACTGAGATTGAAAAGAACTATGTTAACTTCCCTCTTTGTAATGTGGACTGGACTAATAAAAGTGAAGTTTTGGTATTCCTAAATCCTAAGGGATGAAAGTGCTTTTTCAACCAAAAATTACTTCTCTAATCCACTTTAAATTTAGTGCTCGGTTCAGAAGTATGATTACTTGGGAAGACACGAAAGAAAATGTTGACATGTGGGAGTCATGCTTGATGCCATAATGTCTCCACTAGGTGTTGGACCCGTATATTGACACGAGTATTAAATAGACTAATATTTATTGTTTCTAGTTAATTATAGATAAATAAGAAAATAAAAGTTTGGTCACTGTATTATTTTGTTTTGACAATTAAATAGTAGGATGATGTAATAAAGATGAATACATCATAAAATTAATTTATAAATATATACTCCTTCCATCCCATAATTATTGTCCAATTTAGGTTTTCATTTTTAATTCAAATCGTACTAAAAATGAAATATCAAACTGGACAATAATTTTGGGATAGAGAGAGTACTAACTATAACTGTCATATAATAAACCATTATGAGATGAAAAAAGGAACATTGAAGTAAGAATAGAAAATAGCCAGAGGTAAAATTTATGTACTCGCTGCTGAAAAATAAGTGTTCATCAAAATCTGAAGTGGGAAGTTCGCAATACTTACAATCTTAAATCTCTTAAATTCGAACTTACGATGTCTCTTGTAAGGGCATTTTGATTTGTAGGAGAAGAACAATAATTTTAAACCGCCTTGCTTTGCAACTACAATGGGACCTCCGAGCTCCCAAAGCTTGCTTTGTGAAGGTTAAAAGAATCATTTGATTGGATTGCGACAATGAACCTTGTTTGGCTGCTATATTGTTTGTCCAGTACATTTAACTGAAACAAACCAAATTACGCAATATGACACTGAAAAGTTTATGCACTATTAATTAGCCATGATTATAGGCTAAATTTCAGAGCAAACTTAATAATTTTCACTTATTATCACAAAAGAACAAATGAAACAAATTTCATTAAATGCTTATGATCATAAATAGTGCTTAAACCTATGATGAATAATTAAAGCTGGACTTATCTGCAGAATCGGTGTTCATTTAATTGTTGTAATATAAGTTCTCATCAAGTAACAAAACACCTAAGCCTCATCGTTATGAATTAGAATAACCTCATGCATCAGTTCAAGATTAACTACATAATCATTATGCAAGACTACACATTATACTAGAAAGGATTTATAGGTGTGTGTTCAACAAAACCTTAAGATCGTCGTAACAGTTAGAATTTGATCTTGATATCTGAATCTAAGAGGAAAGGTATGTGTACTGAGAAGATGTGTAAAGAAACTCAATGTAGATTTTAATAAAAAAAATTCCCTCTACCCGTGCAGCAAACACTTCATTCTCATGTTATCTACTATAAGTCCAAAAGTATGAATGATAACTAAAGTTAAAAATTTGTTGAATACTTCACTATATATAATCCGATATAAACCCAAAGCTATCTTCAGTGATGGAGTATGTCTTTCCAAAACTTATTTATGCATAGGCAAAAACAGTTACTGACAAGTGAAAAGAGCATTTCATATACCAAAAAGGTTAAAAACTGTATTAATTAGAGGGTAACTTTTAATAACTAAAAGTATGAGCACTAGGATTGAGATACCAAAAAGAAGCTCAAAGTTGTCACCTTGCCATCGGAGAGAGCTACTTCGTTAGCTCATGCTTCATAGACAAAAGCTTTCAGTGCATAATTGGAGTTTTCCAGCTCATGAATCTCAGTAGCTCATAATTGGATAAGAAGAAAACTACTAAGCATGCAAAAATTGAATCCTTATTGAACAAAGTTTTTTTTTTTGGTTAAAAAGTGAAACTCTTTACTGCCTGAATTTATATGGAATTTCGCTAATATTGGCAATGCAATCCACGCCCAAAAATAAATAAATAAATAAAGAGAAATCAGCTTCTAAAATTAAATGGATACCTTCTTTCCTTCCTCCAAATGAACCACATGTACTGCAAAAACTATCTTTCTCCGCTCCAAATCAATCAAATTTACAGTTAGTCATAATTTGATTATTTCATCTTCAGGTCCTGTAAATCCTATCAAAATAATGAACTTTTGCTGCGAAATTCGATATCGAAAATACGGAATGTAAAATAGTATGAAAAAAAATCCTTAAATTTGCACTATTTATTGATGCCAAAAAATAGAAAAATTATTATTTTCTTCATTATTCCCTCAAACATGGGTATAATTTGTTTTTTTGCGGATGCCTAGATTGTGGACCCCTGCAATATCATTGCAGGAATACAATTTAAATTTATGAAATTATAATCGTAATGATGAATTCGCACATACATGATAAGATTTGTAGAAAGATGTAATATTGAAACATAAATTTTAAAAAAAAGAAAGACGCATTTAGATGACAGTATATTTGAAAATGAACCTACCTTAGCATCTACTAAGACCATTTCAGGAGATTCTTCGGAGTTAGTTTCCAAATATACGTAACACATACAACCAAAAGACAATTACTTTCACTCAACATAATATCATCGATGAAGAAAATAAGAGCAGAAGCAATCACCCACTGCAGATGATTTTATTTTTACAAATGGGTGATGGCTTGTGAGTGGTGTTTTTATGTGACCGATAAAAACCCCGACCATGAAATTATCACACATGCGATATACAAAATTTAACTAACTTTAATCCACCATTTTCCAAGGGATTGGGATAGAAGAGTAGTTGGTGGTTTATTTTATCCAAGATGGATAGAGATTACAGAAGGATCAACAAAGGATTAAGGATCACCTAGCCCACTTTCCTATACCACTTCTTACAACACTATAAAAATGAATGACAAGTGTTCTCTTTAATTAATGTTTGTACTTACTTACTAATTAATTAATTCAATACCCACTCAATTCTTCTACTCTTGGGATTTATTTTTTTCCTGTATTATAAAACCTTAATATTTAATCTTTTTTTGGGGTCAATTTTCCCAGAATTAACAGCATCAATGAAAATCAAACGGATGCGTTGCAAGCCATACTCCAGATTTATAATAATAATAATAATAATAATAATAATAATAATAATAAGTCAGGACCGTTCTGATAGAGGTCTTGTTATGATGATTAATAAAATCATGTTAACTTAGTGTAATAATTTGCTCAAAAAGGTTTACTTTTTTCTTGGCTTGGGTTTTAGTGCCTATTAAAAAAATATAGAATTAATTTAATTAATTTTAATAATACATTAAATGTGGAAAAATTAGTTATCATAAAATATTAAATATAAGGTTAAAGTTTAAGTTTTATAGTGGAGTCGGATGAAGGTGGATGGAGAGTTTTTTTTTTTTTTTTTAAGCTATGTAGGATTTAGGATATAATAGTAATATGGTAAAAATTATCAATATGAGTGGTTACTGATTAGAAAGAGCTAATTAGAACTAACTAATTATTAGTGAGTGAGTAGAAATATTAATTAAAGAGGACACTTGTCGCTCATTATTTTTTTGGGGGGGGTTGCGGGTTTAGTTTAGGAATGGAGGTTTTTGGAAAAAATTGGGAAAAAAATGTCCTGTACTTTAATATGTTAACATAGGATTTTATTAGGTATAATTCCCGTTTATTTTTTCTTTTCCTTCAGAATTTTGGTTTTTGTTTTCTTTTTAGATTTGGGTGGGGAGAATTTTAAGCAAAGGCTAACACTTAGACTTTTGTGAAAAAATAGTTTTTGCTATAATGGATGTTATTATTATTATTATTTTTTCTTTTCTTTCAGAATTTTGTTTTTTTTTTTCTTTTCTTATAGATTCGGGTGGGGGAGAATTTTAAGTAAAGGTTGACACTTGGAATTTTGTGAAAAAAATGATTTTTGCTATAATGGATGTTATTATTATTATTATTATTATTATTATTATAGATAGATGCGTTACCATTTCTGTTCGAACTTTTTTATGTTCATGTTCGATATGGTTTTCTCAAAATAGGTAGAAATAGTGTTTCAAATGGATGTGTCATGCCTTCAAGATTGGCTTCGCATCGTTTTCATTTTAAGTTTTAACAGTTCAGTAACGAAGACAAAGTTCTCTTTTACAATTGTTCATTTGTCGACCAAACAAACAGGAGACATCCAATAGGCCGATGGTATCTAAAATTCTAAATTGACTGAAAGAAGCCCAACAATATCTACCACAATTCATATTATATACTCTTTGTGTTCGAAAAAAAAAAAAAAAGAGTTTACATTAAACTTTTTAATAAAAGCAATACAAATTTCAAAACTTAAATCGATGAACTAAGGTAATGTTAAAATAGAAGTTGTTAAACCGATATTACAAAGTTTCAATTTAACAGAAATAAGCGAAACCTTGAAAAATGCTAAAACTCGTCCCATCATTTATTTGTACATCATTTCACTCTGTGCTGGACAGACCTCCATCACGTAAGTAAATTTCAATTTCTCTTGAAAAAAGAAAATTACTAAGAACCCATGACTTATAAATCCGAAAAACAAAAATACATAATGAATGCAAAGACAATACGACACAAAAAGCCAAACCGAAAAAGGGCAAAAAAAAAAAAGAGAAAGAAATCATGCACGCACAAAAACAAAGAGTCGCCCCACCCCCACCATCATGTTTTCTGCCTTTCTTCTTCCTATCTTCTTGAAACAAATATATTTACTGAAATAGTTTTGGCATTTTCGTTTTTTTTTTCCTTTTTAAATTGCGTTCATCATCAACTTCGTGCCAAAAAAATTTCGTGCCTTCATCATCATCATTCATCACAAAGTGCCCACTCCAGCCTCTCAATACTCTCTCACCTTCCTTCACTTTCTCATGTCTCTATTCATTAGGTTTCTTCCCCCTTCTATTCCTAGTCAAAAAGTGGACTGGATTGTGTTTGATTTCAGATAACAAAGTTGAGCGTGAGACCTACCTTTGCCAGCCTGACTTTCTTTCAAGAAAAACTTTTTCAAAGTTGCTGCAAGTAATAGTCGCGTATAGAGCCCGATATCTTAGGATATGTCTCTTCCTTTTTTTAGTGTATGTTTTTAAGTGTTTTTTGTATTAAGAATGTAAAAAATGTATTGAAAATATAAAAAAGTATGCTGGAATGAGACAGTTATTGTTATTTTAATTCTGAAAAACCAACTAAAAAAACAAACAAAGCGTTAAATTGTAATGAATGAAATGAAAAAAAAAAGTACACTATATATTGGAAGGGCGTAATTAAAAAACAATTTTTTATTAATTTTCCTTCATAACCAAAAAAAAAAGTGTTAGAAACAAAGAGCGATCGTTACTAGTATTCACCTAGCCATGCCATTGGTCTAACTTAAAGAATAAAAGAAATCAGTTTGTTATGTTTCCTTATCGAACCCAAACCCATTATTGCCTAAATTTCGTGGAACCCACTTTCTACATTGTCTGTGGTTTTGAGCATCTTTCTTTCGTTCAACACCATTGACTAAATTGATTACGAAATTTAAATAGTAATTATATAATGCCTAATTCAGAAAGATAATGCTGAAGTACAAAGAAATAGTATTTGTGTATACCCAAAAAAATAAGGTAAAGAGTACTTGGTAGTACTAATTTTTTAGTAGCTGGTCAAACCTGAGCTAATGGCACTCTTATAATCCCATCTAATCAACAAAGATCTGGTTGACTAACTAATTTATATATTGCCTAATTATGTCATATAGTAAGTGATCTTACAATTTATTAACGTTGATCAGTTGAGGCATTCGCGTATTTAGCCATGGTTCATTCAGCCTTGATAGATAAAGGGATCCCTAAATGTTTATTGAATTTGAGGTTTATATATTTTTCCGTCCAACCAAAAGAAGAGATAAAGAGTATACAGTCGAAATTCTGAAATTTGAGTTCCTCACTGTTTGATCTAAATGAATATAACAAATAAGGAAAATAAGAAAGAGCTTTCCTCTTTGACCACTAAACCGTGTCACTTTCAATGTAACTACTGAACTAAAAATACGGATAAGAAGTCCGCATTGTACTGCGGCCGAGGATATGACTATCATATGATGGCTTTTCACCGAAATTTTCATTTTAGCTTCATATAAGAATACTATCAAGTTGGTGATCCAACCATTGTCATTTACCAAGCTTCAGAAATGATTTAAGCACGTTGGAAAATTCATCCATACAATTTCTGTTCTTGAGTTACCTCCATACTGATCAAAACGATAATAAACTCAGTAACGTATTAGAAAAAACGTGTTACACACATACTCTTTCTGTTCTAAAATAAAAGTATCGGTAATAAAAACGTGTCACGCACATACTTTATTCGATCTTAAATAAAAGTATCCGCAATAAAAACTGCTTTGAACCGTGTCGATGACAGATTTCAGTTATATTCCGATTACTCGATCATGGACAAGCACAAAATATGAAGTAAAATTTTCGTGCTGGCCCTTCTATTGGCACTTTCTTCCGGCCATTGCGAAACATAAGAGCAAAAGGAAAGAAAAAAAAAATATCAAAAAAAGATTCCTTGCCAATTCTTCCACTCTTCCATTCACAATTTGACAGCTAGGCCCATTAGCCAATCCTTCCCAACCCCCCAACTTTCTTCTCCCTCCTTTTGAACTGTACCATGTGCACTATCTTTTGGAAACTCCAAAAATCAGAAGAACAATCACACCGCACGAGCATAACCATAGCAAATCCCACTTACCATTGCGATTTTATTCACAATTATTACGCTAAAATATATTGCTCCAATTTAACAAACCAAATAATTGTACGGAGTATTGAAACAACAGTAGACCATTTTATTATTTTTTAAATTTTTACATCCACCAAGAAATTCAATTACTACTATGGTGCGGATGAAATTTACAGAGAAGAGAAAATAAAGAACAGGGGAATAGAAATTATACAAATTTGAGGGGGTAATTGAGGCCCCTGAAACCCAATTTCATTCTTAATCAAATGGCCAATTACATTATGCTTACACATACAACATTTCCCGTTTGATTCTCGGCTAGCCCTCATCAATTCCAAATTCATATCGTCTATGTTGATTTTACATTTAGATGGACATCAAAAAAGTAAGGGTGGGGGAAAAAATACTTGAAATTAAATTAAGGAATAAAATTTTTCACTCACTCAAGAATCGGAACTTATAGAACCTGAAACTCTAGGGGAAGTCACCGGAAATAAGGGCAAGAGCCGGGGAGGCTCTGATTCCCTCGGAGTAGTCGACGGCGATGGATGGAAATAAAATCCCTTTTTGGCAATTGCTTTCTCCTCGGCCTCCACGTCCAAATTGCTACTACTACTTGACCCGCCGCTGTGAGGGGATCTGTTAAACGGGTCGGGTATGAGCGGAGTGACTGGGCTGAGAGCCAGAGAAGGAAAATCGAGGAGGCTCGGCGACAGGAGCTCCGGCGTACCGGTTCTGGGAGAATTCGACGAAAAAACCGGCCGGTTTACAAAACCCGGAGCCAAAGGGCTGAGCTTGAAGTTCTTCAGGCTGTTCCTCCTCTCGTACAGCCTGGATGCAGATTTGTCCTTTTTGGTGGTGCTCTTGATGGGTGGGATTGAATGGTTCTTCATCGCGGCGGCGGCGGCGGATGTAGAATCGGGTCGGGCAGATCCGGATGCGTGCTTAGCTGTCTCGGAAGATCCGGTCAGCATTTGGACGACTTGCTTGAAGGAAGAGGAATCCGCTTGAACGAAGGTGGTCGGGTAAGGGCTGTTCGGTTCGGATCTCGTAATGGGAACAGGGGATTGAGGTGCCATACCGGTTGGGGTCGTCGGCGGACGGTGGTGGGAGTGGTGGTGGTGGTGGAGACCATTATTATTGCTGCCGCTGGTGGTGCTGCTGCTGCTGGTTGAACTATTGTTCGGACTGTAGCTCTTTGGAGATGGAATTAAACCAGGGATTTGATTTTCTTGAAATCTCGGTGAGTTTGCCATTGTTGAGAAGTTCTTCTTCAACTGTGTGTGTGTGTGAAAAAATACGGTCAAATAGAAAGGAGGTGAAGGGGAAAGAGAGAAAGAAAAGAGTTGAAAAAAAAAAAACCGAAGAGATAGAGAGAGATTACTGGAATAGGGAAAGAGAAGTACTTAAAATTGAATTCTGAGGGTACTTTGGCATTTTTGCAAACACCTTGTTTACTTTCTTTAGTTTGGTAAGAAATTGCTTTGGTGGGGGAAACATAGGAAATAAATTCCCACGTTCCGAACTGCGCGTTTGGAAGACGAACCATTTATAAATCGACACGTACTTGAGAAGACAGCAAAGAGAGTGGCGGTGTGGGTATGATGGGGATTAAGGACTCCAATGAGAAACCGGGTCATTGGTGATGTTTGGAATTTCAGACCAGATAGTAGACGGTGGGCCCCCCCCCCAGTAGAAGGAGAAGGAGATAGAAAGAGAAGAATTTGTCAAACAAGTTTCAAATTGGGGCATTGACTTAAAGGGGTCCCCTTTTTTTTTTTTTGGATAGCTGACTAATCTTTTTAGTTATGTCGTATTTTTTTTTCCGTGGCTCCTTTTAATGACTTTAGAGCCTTTGGGATCTGATTTAGAAATGCATTTATTCCATCATTTTCCCAATGTTGATTCATTAGACTTTTTTACGATCTTTCTAATAATTCTAAAAAAGTAAAATTATGTTTACATACTTTGTTTTGATTAGTAACACTAGTACTAGTCTACAACAAATTTTTAATTTTGGCCTTTAGGGATTTAACAATTCGATTACTAGAAGCTTTGTTAGTTGGCATTGTATTTTGATTTTTAAATAGCTTTCGATAATATTTAACCTTAAAATAACAATCTCTCACATCTATCATTTCATCTAATCCTTTTATCTAACATTTCAAAATCATATGTTATAACAAAAGTGTTATTTTCGCAGTATTATAAAAAAAAATAAAGAAATTAGTGAGGGTTGTAAGGTGGAGGTGACATCTTAAGTAATGAAAAAACCGAGAAAACACAATTAAGTAAGTTTCATCATGTGGTGGTCAGAAATCAGAATTGTGATGTGCTGGCTGTTATTGGCTTATTGTTTCAAAGATGGAAGGTAGAAAAAATGAATGAGGGTGCTGACTTATGACGAAGGAAGAAGATTGATTAGTATTAGATTATAATAGATAGCTGAGGGCCTAGATAACATTTATTGCGCAGTTTTCAGTTTCGCAGTTTTGCATTGGTTTTCCGCTGGAAAGTGACTCTCATAACTCATAACCAAAAAATGCAATTTTTCATTTTCTTATTTTGGGACGAATGAGTAATATTATAAAATCGTATTCATTTGATATATATAATTTTTTGAGACACTATTATAAAAGAAATGTGTTACGAGTAAACTTATATATTCAACCAATACTCGTTTTGGGTAAATCAAAATAAATTTAAAATATTTTTGGTTATGATATTGTGACGGAAGAAATGCTCCTAATTAAATCAAATCATAAGTTCAAAAATGGTTTTAATAGAGAGATTGGAAGATGTCACTGTAAATTGGTTCGATTGCTCATTTTTAATGACCCTCCAAATGTCTTCTTTTGTGTAGGTTATTAAAGCCCATTTTCTTCGTGACAGCTACAGCCTTGCAAACGTTGACGTTTGAAAGATTCATTTGACCGAGCTGCCGTCCGCACTAATAATGTTAGCGCTAGACTTTTGTTTTGTGTTTAATGGGAATATATTATAAAAATACAATATTATTTTTAGAATTATTCCTCATAAAGTTAAGTTTAATTCATATCTTATGAAAAACATCGAAAGAGATTGTTTTTTTTTTCATATTGTCTGCAATAAATTTTACGACGTGACACTTTTTGTGAAAAGGGGATATAGGACCATTGTTATTAATTTATTAGTATTATTATTATAATGGAAGGATTATCTGATCCTGCAAGTTGAAATATTTTTTTCTTAAATTATTGCTAATACAATTTAAGAAATCCCGCTCAGTCACTGGTTTCAGTAGTGAACTATAAAAGCGAAGCAACTGAAATATGTAACGCATACATTCAAATTGGGGAATAAAAGTTACATTTCTCTTAAATCCAGATTTGGTCAAAACAAACCAAATAAACAAAGACATAAATGAAAAAAAGGATTTGGCTGTTGAGTTTTCAGAAATGTTACAAAGGATTTATGAGTTGTTTTATAATAATATCAAGATTTGGTCAGAAACCTCTATTTTGACCCCCCATCTGTCTTGTTCCACCTGGGACTGATAAACTGGATTCATTAATAGCTAGTATTAAAAATTGCATATCACTAGCAACATATTTCGCTATTGCGATCTAAATTAATTTCGTATCTTGATTTGATCTTCGATCTTAATTACATACTAAACCTTGGAGATTTATGCCATGACTGGATATGATACCTTTAATTTCATTCACCTGTGAAATAAATATCTAACAGTTTTAATTAGGCTGGCAATTGGATTTGCATTTGACATGATCTGGCAACCATGTTGGTCATTTTCCTTTGCAAGAGACCTTTACCCCTCTATCTATCTGTTTCGGCTCCTATATTGGACGTGTTGATTATTATATATTCTGAATTTTCTTTTAAGAGAATAATAAAGTTGTGTTTGATATATACTAGTATGTGTCCCGCGCTTTATGCAGGTTTGTCAATCTTGAAAATTTATCTTCTAAAAGAATTAATTAGATAATGTAGTTATTAATATTTCTTAAAACCGTAAAATTATTTTGATTAATCAATTTTAGATCAAATGAGAGGTATTGATATTATTTATGAGATGTATATTTGTAAGATCTGGAAAAAAAATATTATAACAAAAATTTTGAAAAGTTGTATAATAAAAATTGTCACCACTAACTAATGTTATGTTTGGATTAAAAAATATATTAAAAATGCGTAAATTATGTCTAGATGTCTATGGCTTATTTATAGGCAAGGGGACTTTGGAGATTAAACACAATTAATCGTCCTTGAAAATGTAAAATTGATAAAATTAAAGACAAAATAGCACATAAATAGAACTTTAAAAGCTAAAATGATAATAAGTTAAAAATGATGCTTGATGGTCTCAATTAGCGACACGTGTCGATTATTTTTCTTTCTTTTAATATATATATTGATTCATATTTAAGTCTGAAATTCAAAAATATAATAAGCGTCTAACACTGGAACCAGTTGAGTAAAATAAATTTAAATTAGTTTTATAAAGTAGAAGAGTATTAAAATGATACGGTGATAAGATTATAGAAATGAATTGAAGCATTAATCCCATTTGAATTTTGGTCCCCTAGTGCTTTTCTTGGGCTTAAAGGGCCTGAAGCAGCAATGTTCTTTTTGTACCCAGTAAATACGAACCTACAACAAATGGGTTTTATTTTAATCCTGCCATTCGATACTTGTATTAGCCCAATCTTATTTCCAAGGTTAGCTTTTAGATCTGTTTTTCTTGCTGATTAGTTGGGTTTAGCTTGGAAACTTCCATCGAAGCCAAATTCTAAAACTTTCAACCGTAAAACTTTGATTATATCATGATATAATTGGTATCTCATACCAACGGGCTGTGTTGAGTTAGTATCTCTTAGGCTTTTGCCGCCTCCTTTGTACCAAAAAAATAAAATAAAAAAAAATGCTGGAGCTAGACAACATGACTGGTGAATTCTCTCCATTGAATAAGCAATTCGATCATCAATGATCCATGCAGAGCTAAGATAGATGACAATAAGTAAACTTCGGTGCTGGACGTCCCAATTAAGGGATGAACATCTTTTAGGTGTTACTCATCATTAAATGGTTGCGTTATAGGGACAGAGTAGACTCACATTTGATTGTCAATCACTAATTGGACTTAATTTGAAGATAGTACTAGATGAGAGCAGAATTCTTGGTTCTATATCCATAGGCAATAACGATTGCTAAAATGTTAATCCATCCGTCTCACTTTAATAGTCTATTTTTAGGTAAAAGAATTTTGCTTTTGACGAGGTAAGAAAAAAACTTCTCATCTAAATTCTTAGTACTATATCCGTAGCAAGAACGATCACTAAAATGATATTTCATCCGTCTCATTTTAAAAGTTTACTTTCAGATAAAAGAATTTTGCATTTGACATGATAAGAAAAAAACTTCTCATCTAAATTCTTGGTTATACACCCGTAATAAGAACAATAATCACTAAAATGTCATTCCATTAGTCTCATTTTAATAGTCTACTTTCATGTAAAAAAAATTTTGCAGTTGACGAGGTAAAAAACTACTACAATTGAAATGTCAAATTCATCTGGCTGTAAGCCAGTAGTAAAAGTTTGTAAACTTATGGAGGAGACATCACACATCCCATCTCGAAGCTTGGCAGCTTTGGATTCCCCTTCGTCGTCATCCACTACTGCTATTTTCTCTTGAACCTCGAGAAGGCCAACCAATGTACATTATTTTCTCACTGATAGCATTCTGGAAAAAGGGGTTCTACTAGACTCGTACGTAGCCCGAAATCAGAAGCAAAAGGACACCTAAAACCTGTAGCCATTTCTTAAAATGGTTGTTGGGTATAATTGCAAAATTCGTATATGAATAAGAAAGACCAATTTTTTTTTTTACCCATTTCCTCGTAAAAACCCAACTGTTCATTATTGTGCTGCTACTAATGCAGTTCAGACATGCAGCGACGAGTCAGCTTTTTGTTGTTTGAAATTGGATTGCATTCATGCCAATGTCTGCCACATTTGAAGCACCATTGTTACCTTTCGACTGACTCTTCTTCTTTATCAGTACTTTTTGTAATTTTACCCATTTGAATCTCCCAAAGATAATAATTTTTACTGCTACCCAATTATACTAAATCCAGAAACTGAAAAGTGAGAACCCTCAATTTCGAATTTTGAAAAAGTTGGATTAGTTTATTCTTAAGCAGAATGGATAACTAGAATACTATCATAAACATTCCCATTAATTAGCCAAACACTACTACTACTATTACAAAGTACAAACTGAAGTAAATAGAGGAAAACAAAAGAAGATTACTGAAAGCCCTTTTAAGGCAATTCCACAAGCACAAATTCAAGGCTGATTAAAATGCTGAAACTTCATTCCAGAAGACGATATTCATCATCATCAAAGATGGATCTCAATGCGCGCAAGTGATGTTCTTGGAGGGCTCATAAGCAAAAGGTCCAACAGTGAAAAGTTGATACAGATTAGGCCAAGTCTTAGCAGGCGGCTGGGTGCTGGGAATCGGCATTGCACCTTTGAATCCATCCTTAAAATTTGTCGGAACATCACATTGTTTGGTCGGAGATTTCACCAATGAAACTCTGCACTTGTGGAAAGCTGCATTCGTGACATTTTCCGGCATTATCAAGAAATACCCATTGTTGTCCGTTGTTCCTTCTTTCACCACCGGCCTGTACTTGGTGTTGTTACATGTCACCTTCACCAAAGCTCCTGCGAAACATAATGCCCAAAAAAACAGAGCATCCATGAATTATCAAATCAATCAATCAAAACACCATGCAATTAGAAAATCCACACTCATTAACCAAAAAAAGAAGAAAAAGATGAGGAATTTATATTTATATACATACCTTGAAGAGGCTTAGCTTTCCAAAGGGTATCAACTCCGACGAACAAGCAGTGCTTGCAGTAAACAACACCCTGTACGGCAACGAGTTTCCTCTGTGGAATAATGTGGGGTGCTGGAGCGGTGGCTGGAGGATGAACCGGAGGGTGAACCGGTGGCTGGGTTGTTTGTTGGTGGTTGTGGTGGTGGTGGTTGTGGTGATGGGGCTTAGGGGCTGGAGCAGGGGAAACTGGAAAAGTTGGGAGGCTGTGGGGGGAATGAGCAGGGGAGCTGGAAACCTCAGCGTCATCGTAAGAGGCTTGGACGAAGTTGGAACAGAGGAGAAGCAGTAGGAGAAGTGAAAGGTTGATGGTGAATAGCACAGTTTTTGCTGGAATTGAAGCCATGGTTTTTGGTACTGATGAAAAAAAGAAAGGTTGAATGGCCTTCAAACAGAGGAAGAAGGATTTTGTTAACTTCTGCACTCAGCAGTGGCTAAGTTCGAGACTTAATAGTTTGTTTAAGCCTTTAAGGGGTTGGATTTATAGGGGTACGGTGTAGGAGTCATTAAAAAGGGCGGGGGGAGGAGAAGACTAGGTAATAGTTCTTACTCTCAATTAAAGAAATTTGTTTAAACTGAAAAAGGAAAAAAAAAATGAGTTGCTTTTCTTAGTCGAATACTAATTTTTATTCGACTTCTTTAGAGCTAGCAATCTGCCAATCTCCATTCATAACTTAAGTTTTGACTCAACCTATCTAATGATTTAACTTACTTTGATTAGGTTAAATGACTCGTGGATCAAATAAGTTATAAGTTAAGAGAATCACTTTTAAAATTTTTTAAATAAGCTCATTCAAACGATATAAGTATTCCTGTTATATTGTTATTTTCCATTCAATCTCTATAAAAATTGTCAGTTGTAAAGGTTTGTGACAATATCATGTTTTTTAGTTTAATATTTCACTCACATACAAATGAATCACATTTGATTTATGCAGGAAGTGAATCAAAATTATATTGCTTTCAAAATTTACTTCCTCGCCTATTTGAAGTTTTATTCCATGGGACTAAAAGTTTGTGTTTGAGAGACGACAAATCGATTCTATCTAAAATGGATCGTTATACATATGAAAAAATTACAAAGAAAAAAATAAAAGATGGTATGTTTAATAAAGATCCAAATTATCTACTTAATTTTAATGTATCTTGAACAAAAAGTAAAATATGGATTAATATAATTTAATTCACATCATTCCTTTCCACTTTTTTTTTATATAAAAAAAAAATTATTCATAATACATATCATTATTCTTCCGAAATGGGATAAAAACATGGGTAATGGACCGAAGGGTTTCGACGTGGCTTGCTGCTTCGCATGCAGAGGCTGAAAATCTTGTTAACGGGATTGTCAAATTTTGGGCCTATCAAGTATCTTGCATGGTTCCCCACTTCTGCAATTTCCAACCTGCTTTATCTTTTTCATGTATCCGTTTGAAGAAATTCGGTCCATTTTCAGCTCGGATTTCAGAATGTTTCAATTGGCCCTTTCCAAACTCAGTTCCAATGGTTTCCTTTTGTTACTCTATATCTTCTATCATGTGACTTGTTTAGTTCCGTTCGATCATCGATGAATCTAAGGCTTAGCTTTTTTCTTTTTCCTCCCCCACAAGAATAATCATAAAATAATTTTTAAATGGATAATCCCTCTGCCTCAAAATTATTGTCCAGCTTAAGATTTCACTTTTAATACAATTTGAACTAAAAATGAAAATCTAAAATGGACAATAATTTTGGAACAGAAGGAATACTTAGTAGTACTACCTCCATTTTGAAATATATGTCGTTTTAGGATTTGGTGAATTTTTTTAAATATATGTCGTTTTCACAAATTGATGCATATTTGACCACTTTTTTTTACCAATATTACTCTTGCATTGAAAATGAAACAGTATTTATAGTGAATTTCTATTGGTTTGTGATGAATTGTATAGACAATAAATAAGAATATGTTTGTATTTTAACTACATTAATTAATTTGTTCTTAGTTTTGATGATCTCTCCACAAAGATATACTCCCTCCACTCCAAAATAAGTGTCATTCTACACTTTGCACATAGTTTAAGAAACTCTTAAATAGGGTAATAAAATTACTTGAATATCCTCAACCAACCCCACTAAAAAAATATCCACCAATAGTATTAATTCTTTCGAGGGTAATTTTGGAAACTTTGGACAAAAAATGCATTGAAATGTGAGAACGACACTTATTTTGAAATTTTTCCATTTTGTTAAAACGACACTTATTTTGGAACGGAGGGAGTATAAAAAAAGAATAGAGGGAGTATGTCTAATGAATTTCCACTCGATCAAGATAAAACAATTCTTTTTGGAGATGAAGTCTCCCAATCCCCAATAATTAGCATTCATGTACATATTTGAACTCGATACTTGTGAAAAGGAGGACAAATTCTTCATCACTTGACCTGACAAGTGACAATCTAGAGCTTAGCTTTCAATATTTGGTTTGATTGATTAAACATGATTCTTTGGAAGGAGGGAACAAAAGCAAATGAAAAAAAAAAAAAAGATTTCGAAACCGGGCAAGGCTTCCACTAATTAAAATCTCATTAGATTGCATGAAACATCCCACGTTTGGATAATTGGAATATAGGATTTTTTTTACCCTTCAAACTTCGAAGTATCGGTTTGGGAGATGGTATTTTGCTCTTCTCTCTCTCTCTCTCTCTCTTTTTTAATTAACCAAAAAATAATAAAATTCCTCATTTCCAAGTTTGAAGACCTTTCTCGTCGACGGTTTTGGAATACGTTCGCTCATCATTACTCCATCAATAAGTGTATCGTAATACTTCAGAGTTCAGAACAAAAGAGAAATTAAACTAGAAGTTTGTGTTGGGAACTTGTTTCAGAAAAACCGAAAAAAGAAGAAGAAAAGAAGTACTCCATTAGTCTTAAAATGACTTCCTGAATGTTTGTATTCTTCCATCGATTCTAAAATAGAGGTCGTTTTAACAAAATAGAGAAATTTCAAAATAAGTATCGTTTTCGGATTTCAATACATTTTTTCTCAAAAAACTTCCAAACATACACTCAAAAGAAATAATATTATTAGTGAGCATTGATTTTAATCAGTGTTGTCAGATTCGGCTCGAACACTAACTCGGCGTGGATAAGGGTCAAGGGTTTTAGGGATCGATTCATGTTGACTTGGATAATGTCATTACGATGCAATAAATATTATATAATTAAAAATATATTAATGATAAAAAAAAGACATAATATTTTTGGAAATTTTTTAATGGTAATAGTTAATAATAGTATTTTAGAGTATATAATTACAATTTAAGATAGGTATATTAACCGAACAATTAATATAAGCAATTATTTATAACTAAAACATATAAATTTACAAAATAATCAACTTTTATGGTTAATAAAATGTATGATAAAAAATAAATTTCAACTTATTTGACATGTATTTTAAATTTTGTATAAAATAATGGAGGTTAACATGTGAGAGAAATAATAAAAAGATTTAAAGATGGTCGTTGATAATTTGAAGTAAAAAATTTTGGACTAAAATAATAAATTAATTCATGAATAAAAGTTGTTTGGCCATTTAAGATAAAAAACAAACTTCTGGGGAGGAAAGAGAAAGAACAACACGGAAAACCATGGGAAAAAATTTAAAAAATTTGGTCAAATCATGCAAAAACCAAAATTCCGAGTCGACCCGAATTTGGTCGGTTTCCAATTCACTCGGAGTTTTGACCGAGTTACAAATTGACGATTTTTTCAGTCATTGAACTCGGCTTGTGGTCCGGATCCCGATCAACGGTTGAATCGGCCGGTCTGAACCGAGCTTTACAAGACTGATTAATGAAATTAGTTCAGGATGTTATAGTAATGAAAGTATTCTATTTAAGTGTTTCTTAAATTATGTGTAAACTCTAGAATGACACTTATTTTGGAACGGAAAAAGTAAAATTTTTGTGGAACACTCATTTTAAAAGAAGCTAATTTGATCGTGAGCTACGTCAGGAGATTTATCATTTACTTTCCAGGTCCGACAATATAAGAGTTTTCTGATTCACGGGCTAGTTTAATTACAACAGCCACAAATACTGGAGACACTAATTGATGAATCAATAGCCTAAGCTGATAACCAAATTATTTGTGGCGAAAAGAATCAGTAGCTATATGATAGAGTAGGGACCGGATCACCGGACCATTATCAATGCATACTTTTGCAGAATTATAATTATATACTGTAGTAAAAAGAACAACAGACGTACGTTTAATTTCGATTGAGTTAATTTTAGTGGTTTTGATCAGTGTTGTTTCGGGCCAGTTGTCTGAAAGCAGCCTTATTGGTTCATATTGATGCATAGTTATAACATCAGGCAACCTTAATTAATTTAACGTGATGTATTTCAGATGCGACCGAAAGCGGCCTTAATTTGTTGACACTGATCGTTCAAGGAAGCAAAAGTACGGACACCTATATTTATGGATTTTGAAGAAACAATTGTGTAAGCTAGTAGTTTTCTAGAAGCTTTAGTAATGTGGTGAACGAATGCATAATTCAATAAAAAATAGTTTAAGTGATTCTCGAAATGATTGTTTTAAAGTAAAAATTCAAATTAAACCATCCTCTTAGAACGAAAATAGTATAACATTTAAATTATTGACTAAACTGTTTCTGTCTTTCTGAAAGAAACTGACAGCACAAAGTAATATGTAGAAACGTTGTCTCGAAATTTTTATTCAGTTTAGATTTTTATTTTTAGTTCAAATTGTAATATAAATAAAAATTCAAACTACACAATAATTTTAGGACAGAGAGAGTAATAAATCAGCGATGAAAAGGAAAAAAGGAAAATGGAACAAAGAGTATCAACGAAAAAAAAAGAAGGAAAATAGAAGAAAGAGTAACAAGGTATGTGTATGTATTGATCATGGAGCATCTGTTACTACAATGAGGTGTTTACTTTGGAGTTCTCACCCCTCAACAAGAATCCCTGAAAACTAGACGTTAAAAAACAAACAAGAAATAAAATCTTCAGGATCATCGAAGAAACCTGTTGTTGCGCGTTGACCTTTTATCTAATAAATGCTTCCCTTTCAGAAGTCGGGATTGCGGCCACAGTAACTTAGCAGGCCTAATTATAGGCTACCATCCAAAATTGATAACATGTGGAAAATGGAAATGATTCATATATTAACTCCTAAGGCCAAACCAAATCCACAGACACCCTGGGAAAATCGTCTTCAAACAAATCTGCATTAGACTTAATGTAGTCGTTGTTGAAACGTGTTGAAGTGTTTGTGATCATCGCCTCGCCCTTGCCAGCCGACGGTGATGATGATGATGATGCAGACATCCGGCTAGTGTTGCCGGAGGGAAAAGAAGAAGCAGGTGGCAATGAGATCAAGTAGTCGGGATTTTCATGTTTGAGGAGTTCAGACAAAAGAAGAACAAGAGAAGCCATGGTGAAAGAACGAAGATTGAATTCAGGTTGATTTGATGCAAAAACTGGGAGAATTTTTGGTTCTTGAAATGGGGCAAAGTTGGTTGGAAGTTAAAAAAAAAAAGAGGCTGATTAGCAGAAAGCTGAAAGCTGTAGATGTATGTTGTTGGTACACCACAAATTTATAAGCTAACTAAAGTGGTTGCTCAGCTCATTTATAGTACTACAACTTTGCTTGCTGCCGTTTAATAATAAGCCAGGGGATGGATGCAGACAGCAGGATTGATAGCCCACTGGATTATTTTCTATGTTGCTTGTTTGACTATTTATCACTTCATTGCAAAAAAAATACTCCAAGTTTCCCTGTTTTCTACTATACCCACCAAAAGGTTTCTTATAATACTAATGGTCAACCAACCACCATTCTGATAAAATTACCTTCTAACATGATCTACCTGTAAGAACAATCCATAGTATACTACTAACATATTGCTGATGATAGTAAAATAGAATATTAGACGCAAACTCAAACTGAGGAGAGGTGAAATGGATGTTATGTAGATATTTACGGGTAACTTTGGTAAGGTAGTGGTGTTTCAGGAGAATTGCAAAAATATCTATATTTTAAATTTTGCTTTGTTTGTTTTATTTTTTTGATAGTATTTTTAAATTAAACTATTAATATTTGTCCCATCCCAGTATACCTTTTTACATTATCAATACAAAAAACACATAAAAAACACGCACAAAAAAACAAAATAAACATATTTTTAGATTTCTCTGGCAAATCTAGATTGTTCAATCTTTTAGGGGGGTCTATCACAAAATTATCAAACTTGAGACGTTTGTTTGCAATTGAATCGCTACTTTTTTTTGGTTTTTTTTTTTAACCTTTTTTTTTTTAAAAAAAAGACTTTTTAGCCTGGATATCAAGCATTTAATTCAACAGAGAAAAATCTAGGGGTGATGAAAAACAGTTGGTGGGGAGGGCGTCGGTAGATTTTGTTGGTTGGGAATTTAGAAGGCTACACTATACTCTTTTATCTTTGGGTCATTGTTGACAAAGGCGGTTTTCCTTTTCTCCTAGGTGGGCCTGACCGCATTTGCTCCACAGAAGAGACAGCCTTCTGAAATCTCAATAAGTGTGGCGCTGCAAATCTCCAAACAATTTATGAATCCAACCCATGTGCTTTGTCGATGCTTCCTTTTATGACCTCTTGTTTTTGAAACTGTCATTTGGTAATCGCAAAATTTTTTATGGTTTCTTTTTAGCAATCGATTTCTTTCACTTTGGTTTTCATGAAACTAATTACTAGATTTTTATTCGAGATATAGTCACTTAGAATATCTCATGACTTATCTGCTTGAACTAAAACGTTGTGCCTAAATTCCACCTCACAGAAAATGAGATAAACTACAGCAAAATATCTGCTTGAACTAAAACGATGTGCCTGAACTCCACCTCACAGAAAATGAGATAAACTACAACATTTTGCAGCGGATGGAACTCAAATCTGCGATCTCCCGGTTGATAGAGTTGATTTCAATGGTTACTATTTTGCATTGATAAAGTACTCACAATTAAAACAGAAAGTTCAAAACCAAGCATGACAGCAAAATGGAGACGAAAGTAGAACAGAATGACACTTTGAAAGAACAAATTTTATAAAACATAACATCCTATGTTTCAAACAAATTCCATACCAAAGAAACTCCCAAAACGTCACAACAAACTGGTCCTTACCACAACTAGTGTATTACTTTCTAGCAGTAATGTACGAATACCCATAATACTTGCCAAAACATCAAAATTGTGTAACTAAAAAACCATTACCAAGTAGAACGTGTATCCCTTCAACGCTCAACAATGCAGCACCTTTATATCTGGGGGAACCAACACTGTGTGACCTTGAAACGTAAAACAGCCGTCATCTCCTAGAATGACAGCTGCAGGCTACCTCACTATCACTGTTTTCACTGCAGTAAACCCAAGAGGAGAAAAGACTGTTATCCACATTTGCCAGAAAAACATGGAAGGCAAGTGCAAAAACTCATGATATATATCTTCTACTATTTCACAGCCATGATGCAAAATGAATAAAGAAATCTTGTTAGCATCATACGCGTGCTACAACTGCAGCAAACTAGTGAAGTACAGCAGTAAGAAAAGGTATCTAAGCCTAGCGTATCACACCCGTAAGAAAAGGTATAAGCCCCACACACAGTTTTTTTTACGAACAGGTTTGCCAACTTTACTACGACGTCATTACACCAACGATTTTGCTTCTGGAATGACACAGTTCATGCTAAGCTAATAAACAAGGGACATTAAGAGAAAATACAAGTAGAGATGCTTGGGAATAGAGTGTATCATATACCGCTTTTGTTTTTCTGTATGCGAAAGTCTCCCCTGGCAAAACAAAGGGGATACATACTCACTGAAGCAGGACAAGCATAAAGGTTGAGCTTATAACAAATGACATGTTGCCATCTCATTTATTAGTTATTTGTTCACTACTGACAGCAGCTTCCCAATGACAGGAACACAAATTGAGAGAAGGCACACTACTACATATGGCTTAGTCAATGTCTCATTCCCTCAACTACTAACAGGAACAAAATGAAACTTTTTCTAAACAAAAAGAAGCATCCTAACCTCCAGACCTGAAATGGCTCCCTATTCACAATAGATACAATCCCACGAATGTAAAATTCATAGACAATAAATTCCCGTTTTCCAGCCTTGACAGGAAAAAAGAACTCAAACAAATAATAGATTCCAACAAGGAAGACTCTATGGACAAATAACTAGCTTACATCCTTTGCAAGTGATATAAAAGATAAAACGTGTCCAAGTAAACATCGGACTTTATGGTTAAAATGAAAACAAACAGTCAAAACCCAGAACAACTACAATGAGAAAAGTTTATGAACCAACTTTTCAAATTATCCTAGAACTTCTTAAAACAACAGCACGGACAATAAAAATTGCTCCTTTATTACCACAATAAAATCCATTTAAGCTGCTATTGGTTCAGCATTGGGCTCTTTGTCCTCCGCTTCCTTAGTCACTGCATTATCATCCAGTGCTTCAGCATCTTCAGTGGGTGGCTGCACCTGTTCATCCTCCGGCAAAGGCTCCTCAACATAATCATTCTCAAATGCATCAGGTGGAACCTCGTAGATTCTCACTTGGGGCTTGGTTGGGTCCTTAACAAGCACATACTTCCCTTCATTTAACTTCATACACAAGTCCACAATACTCTTCACAATACCCCACATATTAGAAGTATTCAAATTGATCTGTCCAGCAAAATCTTTGGGCTTATACCCAACAACAGCCAATATGACATGGTTAAAATGATCCCTGGGATGCACTCTTGAAACATACCCCAGTTTCATCATATCAGCACTAGCCAAAAGGGACTGAGCAGTCCACTTAGCCAGCTTATTGGCATTGTTCTTCAACTCAGTAGCCAAAACAGCACCCCTCTGAGTTTCCAACTTCTGCCGCCAATCAACACCAGAGTACTTAGGATCAAACTCATTCAAGGCATTCAAAGTTAAAAATGACCTCTGATTATTCACCTCCACAACACTCTGCACCTCACACCGAGCCACCAAATACATGTCATCATCCAATTTCCACCTTCTATACCTATACGCCACAGAGGCCACTTCTTCCCCTTCAGTAGCAAATGGATTCGACTCCTCAAAAGTCACCTTATTACCATCCCTAACAAGAACCTGCTGCGAGAAGTTCTGGTTTATATATGCTGCCTCAACACTCAATGAGTAAGCAGAGTTTATATCATCCTTAACATCAGGCAAGGGCTCTTGAGAAGTTTCATGTACAGATAACAAATCCAACTGTGACCCATCACGCTTATCAAAAAACAACTTGTTGCCAACACGTTGAATAACAATATCCCACGAGTAAACTGACCTGGGGGCACACATTAGAGTAGACAAAATAGTGTCCGTAGCAAACACCGTAGCTTTATCCTCATTGGCAAGTCGGCGGATGACAGGGTCATCGGTAGTTGTAACTTTGAAGAAGTTGCGGTTCTTAAAACGCTCCAAACGCTTTTCATTCCTAGGAGTGACTCGATCATAAGCGCGGTCATAAAACTCAAGGCCACCGCAGATAAGAAGGTCTTCCGGCTCAGGGACGGAGAAGGAGAGCTTGGAGAAAGTCGAGAATGGAATCTGGTCAAGCATGTTCCATTCGGGTTGAATATCAACGGAAGATTTGAAGACAGAGGACTCGCGGCGAGCTCCTGCATTTGTGGATGAACGATTTTGGTTGTAAAGGCGGTCACGGCGGGCGCGTTCCTTTTCGGCTTCGCGTTTCTTTGCTTCGACTTCTTCGTCACGACGCTGGGGGAGCTGCGAACGCTGGTTGTGAAAGTTGGAACGCCACCGGGGATTGAACTTAGGGCGGTTAGGATTGCTGCCCGATTTGGCCGGGACGCTGTCCACGAGAATGAAAGTGTTGTCCTCGTCGGCGGCTAATGTGGCGAAGGAATCGTCGCCGGAGAAATCGAAGGCCGAATCCACAGGATTCTTGTTGGCATGATTAGATCCGGGTCTGTTGTGACTTGAGAGATTACGGGTCCAGTCGGCAATCCTACCCAGCTTCTCCGACCGGGAAAATGGAGCAAATGGAACATTAGATGGGTGGTTTGGGACGGAGAGATTAAGCGTTCCGGTGGCATCAGGGGGGCCCCAACCGTCCGAATTGAATGGAACTGCTCCGACTTCGAAACCCACCATGTTTAACTATCAGAAATCAAGCTTTTTTTTGCTAGGGTTTTCAGTAACAATCAGAAGGAAGAGGAAGATGATAAGAGTGAAGAGTTTGGAAAACCCTAATTTAGTCTGAAGGAAGATCTCAAAGATGTTATTCTTTTCTCTGGAGGCGGCATGGCCCAAGCCCATTATATCCAAGTTTTATATTCCTATTCAGTCGGTCCGAATTCTAATTTAAGCCCGGCCCATCTATCTTTTGTTTAGGTAGACATTATTATCAATTGAATTTTGATATGAATGTTAAGTCGCTATTATCCTAATAAGTTTGTTTTCTACCTTATGAAAAAAAGTCACCTTTTGGAGATGAGGAATCATCATTCTTGTTGTAATAATATTCTCTATAAATCTATTTATATATTAATAAAAATAAAACTTATACTAACCTATTTGAGACTGATACACAAAATGTGTTACACATCATCTGAATTTACTAACAAGAAATATGAAATTATTTGGTTGAACTTTTGAAGTGGCACGAATTTGTTGTCTAACCTCCATCTCAGAAAAATAGTCCAGTTTGAAAATATACAACTTTTTTAATTTGGTCAACACACCAAATGTACAACTCATTTTATGCCCCTAACTTCCACTAATGCCCATTCTAGTTATTTCTATAAGAGTTAACTACATATGCATTAATTTTACAACTTAAATTTAATTAAAATTTTTATCTCAAAAAAATATTGACAATAGATCTTAATGGAAAGATCTCGTTACGTAGATTAATTTGATATGTAACACATTTTTTAATTATTCATGTATTAAAAGATATAATCATTTGAAAAAATGAGAGAAAACTAAAAAAAAAAAGAAAATCAAAGGAAGTGGACCTTGTTTTCTTTACCACTACTTTTTGGATATTTAAGTCATTTCAATTCAATTAATTTTGATTTTAGTGAAACTGGATTATTTTTGTGGGACGGAGGGAGTAGCAAATAACATATAATGTGAGTCATTAATCACATTTTTCTAGGGACGAAATGACAAGGACTTGACCAACTCTTGAGTGTTTGGTAATGAACCTAAGTTGCCATATTAATGACCAAATTTAATAAGTTGTCATTATAAAATATATTTGTCACTTAGGTTTCAATATGAGGAGTATCAAACTTGTGTTGTTGTGACATATATCTACACTTTGTTAGGGGTTACGGCAACATCATCTCAAAAGTCAAAACAATAATGTCGATAAAGCCATCATCAATGTGTGGTATGGAATGTAATAATATTATGGGTTTGCTCGCGACGTATTTAATTTGTCACTGTCTTGTTGGAGAGCACAAACCTTGTGGTTCCTCTGGAGTGGTCATGAATTTAAAGGAAATGGAACCCTCAAATAAATCAACACAATTACTTGTGGTCCGACGTGTATGTACACTTGAAAGAATGGCCTTGTTTGGATAATAGTTCATTTTATATTTTCACTCATTTCACCTCTTAAACACAAAACCAATAAAAAAGAAAATATCATCCAAACAACTTTCTGATTTACATTTTAAATTTCAATTTCGTGTATCAGTCTCAAATAGGTTAGTATAAGTTTGGCAGGATTCCGTTGTTGAGTGATTGTTTTTTGATAACTTCTTTTTTTAGTAATGATTGTTTGATTGACAGTATTTAATTGTTTAGTGATGATTTGTACTTGATATTTCAAAATGTAGTTCAAAATACTTTTTTTCAAAACCAACATCCAAACAACATTTTTATTTCCCATTTAATTTTCAATTTGAAACACTTTTCACTTTTAAGTGGCAAAATGAAATGTAAGTTGACGTCCGAACAAGTAGCAAGTCTTCTCTAACAAACAGTGATCAGACGAAGAAGAAAGGTTGTAGATTTGGCCGAAAACTTTCTTGCCGTTGGTATTGAGAATAGGGTTTGTTATATACAAGTTTTACATTAACCAAACCCTAAGTAACTAAGTAATTACAAATAGTAGTTATTATTCAAAATAAGTAAAATATAATACCGTAACATTCTCTCATATTAAAATCGAACAATAAATCACATATTCCAAATTTAAGAGTATGGCTGAACGACAAAGGATGAGGTGGGACGTCATTAGGTTAGCTCCATACTGACAATGATTAATTTGGAGCTTGGGCTGGCTCCAAAAAGAAGGTGATTAATTGTCATCCACAGATACGGCCCAAAATAGAAAGTACCCTCAAAATCATAAGCTTTGCACCACATTTTCAGAGAGTATTCATTCATCAATGCAAATGCGTCACTAATCTATGTTGAAACTGCAACAAATTGAGTACCAAACGAAGTTGCAGTGTCTGTATTTGTCAAATAGACCTAATAATGTTCATAACCTTCGAGTGCAAACCAAAAGGACTGACTAAAACATAACTGTAATAAATATAGTTAAACTTAAACCAACCACGAAAATGTTAACTGAGTTCACATTAATGTATACAGTCTTCCAACCTCAAAATCACTTGAGACTTTTGACTTTTGAGACCACAGTTTTGATTAACGAAATCAAGTCTCGATTTTTTTAGCCGTATACATACTTCTTCAGCCTCTCAGTTATCCTTGCAGCTGCATGACCTTGAGCAGATTCATCAATCTAAAGCAAAAAACGTGTACCCACAAATACAAAACAAGGATGAAAACAAAGAAAACAAAAAGGCCCTTCAGACACACAAAAAAAAAAAAAAAAACCTTCTTGAATTGACAAAGTGAAAGAAATTAGTACGACACATTTGAGATTTACCTTAGAATGAAGGGTGTGGAAAATGGTGTCTCCGGCAACATAAAAACTAGCATTGACAACTTGAGCACCTTCCTCATGCAACACCCGAATGGCCTCCCTAAACATGAACCGGCAATCTGATCCGGTGATGAGAACCACCTGTAGTGCCGATCCCATTTCTTGAACATCAACATGTGGCTCCCTCAAACTTCCCATCACATTTTTGCTCTTTTTGGGTTCTATCAAAGAATCCCTTTTCTCCTTCAGCTCCTCCAGCCTGATCTGCTTAGTTTTTATGTAGCTTATGGCTTCCCCAATCCGATCTGGCAGAGACAATGCTTCCTGAAGATAAACCAAAAATACATATATAGATAAAATAAAAACATTAAACTTAATTAGAAAAGATTTTTAAGGGTAGAAGAGAAAAGTAATCAAACAACCTTATTAGATTGATGAGGAACAAGTGAATTGAGCTGAGTAAGAAGGGTCTTCATTTGATTTCTTCTATTCTTCTCAATGGTTTTCCTGTCAGCCTTGGATGATGAGGAGTTTGGGTTTTGCTCCATCTATGGGAATTTGTCTTTAATTTGAGGAAAGCAGAAGATTAATTGCCTTGGTTTCAAAATCTAACTGTGCAATATATATGGCCAAAGCCAGAGATTTGCTTCTTGCCTTTGATTTGCTTTGTCCCTTTTGTCATGGTAGGAACCCATTTGACACAATTAAGCAGACACAAAAAAAAAATGTAGTATAAAGTTATATTATTGGTTACGGATGTTAACATGAACGTGACAGATATGGTGGGGTTTACTAATTAGCTTTAGTACCTTTTCTTATAATTTGACCCAATTTTCTATTAGTTTTCTTCAGATGCATAAAATTTACAACTCGTGTTTCACATTGCTACCCCTATTGTCTTTTTCAGTTTTCACGTCATGCTGGTTTGGAGCTGGCCCTGCTGGGGTCACTACATATTTATTCTTAAGGACATTAGAAATTTTTATTCTTTTTACTAATTTATTAAATATAACTAATGTTTTATGACAATCTAAAATACTATTTTATCCTTCTTTTGACCCCAGAATTATCCTTCTTTCCTTAAACAATAACTGGACATGGCTCCCTGTTTGTTCTAGTATCAATCAAAATTCTTGAATTTTAAGATTTGATCTGAATTGTCTTTTGTTGTTTTCTCCTTTTTGATTAAATTTCATATAAACATGAACTCTAATGAGTGTCCTAATTTTCATTAACGATGGGGTTGGCAACCGTCGGAATTCAACGAGCCTCCGTCCAAAATGAAATCATCAAATAAAGGTTCCGTTTCAGCAAATGAAAACTAGAGTTAGAATCATACAGGCATATAAATCATGTGTAGAGTAGGAAACTAATAGAAGAGATTTTTTTGGAAATTTGTTCAAAGAGATGAGTTTAAAGAAATAAAAGGAAAATGGGAAAAGTAAAGAGTAATTTTCACGGGTTGAGAGAAAGGGTGAATTGGTCCTATGCAATGTTGGAAGCTATAAAATGCATTTTAATATTAATGCTGAAAAATAAAAAATGGTAATGCCCTTGAAAATAATTTTAATCTTTGGTATGCCCTTTATAATAATTTTCCTATTTATTATTACTTCCGTCCCACAAAAATAGTCTATATTGAGTTTTCAAATTTATACTAAAAAAAAATAGTTTATGAGTTTTCAAATTTGTACTAAAAAAATAGTCCAAATTTGAAAATTCAATGTAGACTATTTTTGTGGAACGAGAGAGTATTTGAGAAAGCAGTATGTTATGTCAACCATTTTTCTCACATTGATCTTTAAATATTCTCTCATAGGGGGGATAAAGAACTAAGGAGGTGTTTGATTGGATGCAATTTCAATGCGTTGATGTAGGCAAAGTAGGCATTTTCACCTCAAAATCACATTAGCAGTCGTATCATCAATAATTAATCGTGCGTTGACTGTAACGAAATTAGAGCAGAGAGGTAGTATAAGATATGTGGTTACTAGTAATAACTGAACCTCGATCAATAAGGCTTTTGACATATAAGTATCATCAACAATATACAACAACAGTTGTTTTGTTTTGATTTTTTTTTTTCCGTGTTGAAGTTAAAATCGGTTACATAATTTGTCTCTAATTTTCTCTTTATTATATTTTCTGAGTCTAAATTATACTCTCTGATTTGACCAAATTCCTAACAAAAAGTATAACCAGTATTGTGAGCTTAAATATGTAAAAAGTAAAAATGATCTTATTTATGAAACAGTACCATGAGCTTCTCCGATAGACACATTTTACACGAATAGTGCATGTTTTCTTGTTGACTATTGAGTCAAAAATATTGCCTCCACATTGAGTAAAGATGTTTATGTATTCTTCAGATTAGTAAGTAATTACTCTCTCCGTTCCTAAATTGTAAAAATCTGAAAATTCAAATGGAGAGTTGCGGACTATTTTTTTTAGGACAGAAGTAATAATTCGAAACTAAGACCACAATATCGATTTCTTCTATCTCAAAAATAATACTCCCTCCATTTTAATTTATAGGTCGTTTCAAGTTTGGAGAGATTTTTTAAAATGTAAGTCGTTTTACAAATTCTAGGCAAATTAATGACTATTTTTCCAATTTTACTTGCACTAAATGATGCTAATCTATTTTCATTTAGTCTTGTTTATAATTTTAATATAATTAATGAGGAATAAAACAAATATTTAACACATAAATTAATTGTTAGATGATTGTCTCTTTAATTTATATGTAAGTCTAATGTAAGTTACATTTTTTAAATGGAGGGAGTAGTACATTGTACAACACATCAAATTTTGTGCCAAGAAAAAAAACATAGTCACCATAAGTGAGCACAGCTACGAAAAAACAAAATACTTAAAAACAGAAAATTGTAACTGATTCCCACAGATAAATTAAATCATTAATCAAACATCTTCAAATCTTTTCGCAAGAAATATGCTTTATTCCTAAAAGGAAAAAAACGAGGAAAATGCTAAACAGTAAACACATAAACATTTTTCTTTTTCTTTTTTTTGATATTGGTCAAACATCCTCTTACAGTTTACATTAACGTAAGTAGGAAGAGAGTCAAACAGATCCTGGCTTAAGATCCAGGACCCAATATACAGTCAACAGTTTATGGTCACGGAACATATTCAAAACACATACTACTGCATATGCTTTCTTTACACACACACACACACACAAAGAAAAAAAGAGCTCGCTTGAATATGGACATTTCAACTTTTTCTTTTCAAGTACTAATAATGAAAAAAAAGAAAAAACAAACTTCTGACTTACGGATCTAATTTTCTTGTGACAATTTTAGTACTAAAAGTGTATAAAAAGAAAAATGCCATCATTCCGAGAAGGAAAAAAGAAAAAAGAAAAGTGCAATGTTCCCTTTCGTAAAAAGGAACAGAATTCCATGAAATGAAGTTATGAACTGCGACCCGGAGGGAAACTTGACTTTATCACGGGTTTTTCACAGTAAACAGATTCAGCTCACCAATTCAATTCCTTTAAATATCATCAAGAACACGAATACCCCATCGAATACGCAATCGTATGCACTAGGCAGGCACACGATAAAGGCAAAAACTACCAAAAAGTCTACATGTATGGATATTAATGAATGTATGATATCCTTTTTCCTCTTCCAATCCCTCTGTCATTATCATGGCCTAAACTGCTCTTTCCACATTATAAAGAAGGAATAAATGAGAGGATATTTTATTTTGATACCTTTGCCATCAATGATTAGGACACAGTTCATCCAAAAGTGTTTTAAAAAAAAGGGCAGCAAAAGGAAGCTTAATCAACGACCTATTTGCAACTTGATGCATGTTCATCCAAATCAAATAATACCCAAGTTATTGTAATCTAACTATCACCGTTTGCTTCTTCTCGTGTTTTCTCCCAGTGTAAGTTCCAAAAGAATCATTAACATGACTAAACAAGAAAATGTAGAGTACATATAGTTCACAACCGATAAGATTCTATCAAAACATGACTCTTATTTTGGGACAAAGAGAACATAACAAGATGCCTGCAGAAGAGAGACACAAGTTGCACACAGCACTGAACAATCGCATCTTATGTTCAAACCAGATCATGAACACTGAGCAGAGGACCAAAGCTAAATACTTCCAGAAAAACAACCCCAGGTACAAAACTATACACCTTAGAACACTTGATCATAAACCACCACAGAAGCCTAACAAAAGATAGAAGAGTAAAAGGTGAGCGGGAGCTGAAAAGACAAAACCTAAACTGGTGTACCATTTACCAATAGGAAGCAATGGGCTGGGACATGTTGCTTAGGCTAGTCTGCTTCATACACTTTTAATGGCTGGCTCATCACTGGAACTAACCCATCGACAGAGAACATAGAATCTTGCAGCTAAAAAGATGACACGGAACTAATAATAGAAAATCCAAAGTTCTCTGTAAATTCCTTCCTACTTCTGAAGCAGTAACGAATGATGCTCAAAATCTGATAACCATATCCTGTATATTATCATGTAAAAATTACACAATACAGTTACCTTTAAATGCAGTCTACTCACTATCATTCACATTGGCTGAGAAAGAAGATGGTACCACAAATGAGGACGGAGGAAAGAACCTTTAATTACAATGGGATCTAAGTTGAGCTACAAGAGCAAAATCATCCAAAAATTCATTGGAACCTGGGTTTAGGTACCGATGTATTTGAATGCACGGGACCTAGCTTTTGGATCCAATGGAGAAGTTTGTTCTTGTGATCATGGGAGATTGGGTTGATTACCACATTCAGGGTTCCATCACATGCAAGTGAGCTCTCAAACTGCTTCAGCACCTCCACAATTTGCCAAAATTCAGGCCTCTTATCTGGTTGCAAAGCCCAACAACGTTCTATTAATGCTCTCATCGCAGGGGGACAGTGCTCAGGGAAAGGAGGCCGCAGATTCTGGAAATACAAAAGGACCACAAGAAAGAGAAATAATTAAGAAAATTACATTTACTAAAGCACAGGTCTCCAGAATAAAGATAGAATCCTTCTTTCACATTCTGACACAGATACTTAAACGTAATCATTCAAAGGATCCGGTGGCATTAACAATCGGTTCATCCTCTACTTGATTGGAAGTTATTCTATATTTATGCATGACCTATTTAAATATATTAACAAAGGTCAACACAAGGCATTCAACTTTTTCATGTAGCTATTGAAGTACCACGTGCAATCTAAAGATTAATACGGAATGTTATACTTGACCATATAATGATGCACACGTGACTGAAAGGAATGTATAAGATTATTCTTATCCGAGCATTTCGTGATTATTAGCACTGATTATTGCCAGCTACTCTCACATTAATTCATGATCCCCATATAACTTAGCACGCTTTTCCCTTTAAGGTCCATAAACAGACAAGTGAAGGAGAGGCACGGGAGGCATAGAGGACAAGCGGAGTAAAGTCTTATTAACAACCAATCATTTCAGTACAATCATTTGCTTAAACAAACTTGACATTGAAAAGAAGTTTTCGCCTTCAAAACAGTAGACACGGCATCATTTCTTCTCTGTTTTAATTAGGAATAAGAAATGAGAAAGGCAATCTCAAAACATAGTAAATTAGAAATATTGTGTTTACCTTATTCACTACAGCAAAAGCAGCCTGTATCGGTGTCATATCTTCATATGGAATAGTTCCAGCAATCATTTCCCATAAGATTAGTCCAAAACCATACACATCGACCTTCTTACCATAGGATTTACGCTTGATCATTTCAGGCGCCATCCATCTGTAAGTACCCGGGTCGTCAGCAAGAAGATCACAATATGCTTGCTCGCAAGCAATTCCAAAATCAGCAACTTTCAGGTGGAAATCTTCATTAATCAGTATATTCTCTGGCTTGAGGTCCCTGTGAATAACGCCTTGTGAATGTATATATTCCATTCCGCGAGCAATATCCAAAGCCATGGAGATTAATTTTGGCAAGGGAAGAAATTTTTCTTCAAATGGTTTCTGCTCAAGTTTGTGCAGGTAAGATCTTAAAGAACCCTCAGACAAGTATTCAGTGATAATACAAAAAACTGGTGGCTTTCGGCAAGCTGCTACAAACTGCAGGAAAAAATAATTTTGAATCAAATGGTAAAAATCTGAACAGAACAGCTACCCTTTAAAAGAGCTCTTCTCCAACAATTGGAAGTGTTCCATACAAGAGCAAGATTCAGAATTATGCCAATCTAGCAACCTAGCTTTCATATGTAGCTCTTCACAAGTACAATAGAAGCGGATTCATAATGCAATGTACAAGTATTATACCGCTATCAAACAAATAATAAATATTCTATTGTTCATTTTCCACAAAAAAAAAAGAAAAAAAAAGAACCAATATAGAAAACTCTTTACAGACCTTGATCACATTTTGGTGGTGGAGCCGAGACAACAGAGTAACTTCTCTGTTGAATTGATTCTCTAACCGACCTGCTAAGTCTTCATTTTCGTCATCATCTGGTGCTCTAATTATTTTTACAGCAACTGGTTCATCCTTGTAAATCCCATGATAAAGCTGGCTATGCGCACCGTGAGCAAACTTTAGCCCAAGAAACAGCTTTGAAAGATCAACCATATGCTCATCTGCTGTCTCCACAGAGGTAACCCTTCCTCCAGCATGGTCAAAATACTTGGTCCAAGTTGAATCCTTCTTGCTCTTTGTTTTCTCATGGAATTTCATGGATGAGAAGTGCCTTAGGGGGCTAGTGTTCGACAAAGATTTCGAGGGAGGTGATTTGTAACTCTCTTGCTTCTGCTCCCGGGAATCTTTATGAGAAAAATACTTGCCAAACTTTTTCTCAGATCTCCTTGGAAGTGGAGTGGAGAATCTTCTCTGAACAGTCCTTGCCTCTTTAAAAGTATCCAAGAGCTTAGTCTGTGGACTTGGGGATACAGCCCTCTGCTTATTTGTGGTGGGATTTCTCTGCAACGGACTCACAATGGGTTCTTGATTAGGAAAAACATAAGCAGACGTACCAGGCTTAGAGTTTGCACCGGGGATTCTCTCCCTCTGAGGAAGAGTCAGAGGAATTGGGGCCAACCTTGATGCATCTAATCTATGACAAACAGTATGAGAAAATTTAGTCCTCCTAATCCAAGAAGTAGCCTCTTCCTCCATATCTAACAACTAAAAGACCTGATAACCGAAAGCAAATCCAGTCTTCTTCTCCCTTTCCCTCTTCTTCAGCTGAGAAGAAGGCGTCAAATCAGAATTTTCTTCCGAAAAATTTGCAGAGTTACAGTGTCCCATAAACACAAACTCAATCCCCTCTATTCCATCAAACCCAAAACTGAAAAGAAACAAACTTCAAAGCCCTCAAAAAGGAGGGATGAAAACGGAGAAACCCACCAAAACCCAGAATTTTTTTTTTCCGAACGAGATTACAGGAAATAATTCTCAACTCTAAACACCAATTACTGAAAGATCAAAACTTTCTTAATGCAAGCCCATCATCAAGTATTCATCCGCAACATCCCTATGCAAACCTGACCAAACCCCATTTGCATACAAGTCAAAATCACACCAACACCAGCACACTCTATATTTCTCTCTCCTAAACAGAATACAACAATTATTTTCACCCCACAAAGTCAAACTCCACCTTCCTTCAAAGCCTGGAAAACGCCACAAACAGGCCAAAATAAAAACGATAATCAAATATAATATAGTGTATATAAAAAAGAAGGAAAAAAAAAAAAAAAGAAAACAGAAAAACAAATCAGATCAATAAGAAGAGATAATGTTTACGCAATTAGCTTGAAAACAAAGGAAGACCCATCATTATATACCCACTAACCACCCGAAAAAATCAAATCATTGCTTCAAACATATCCCAAATTCACCCATATCTTCTAAAGCATATAATTTTATGTGGGTACAATAATGTTAAATGAGGTAGGATCTGAGCTCAAACCTTCATTGTATCATATAAACCCGGAAGAAAAAGAAGTAACCGCCTATTCCATCGAAGGGGTGATTGACGATTCTCTTCAAGAAGAAAACAAATCTTGGAATTACAAAAACTCTCTCTTTCCCTTAACAAAATAATATAAAAATCATTTCTTTCTTGATAATATTTTTTTTATAAAACTATAAAGAAGAGAAAGAGAGAGGAACTATTCAAACCCCATTTAAGAGAGTTTGTGTCAAACCATGACACAAAAAGGTGAGCATAAATTTGCATTGTGACAGGAAAATTGTTATTTATATTTTGCTTATTTAGTTATTCAAAGTAAATAATTAAAAATACTGTAATTACTTTTAAAGAAAATTCCTCCAATGAGATTCTTCCTCGACGTATTTAAGAATTTCACAAATGGCAAAAAAAATACAAAGTACAGTGTACAAAGGTATTCGGTGCGGGCTGGTGTATAGATTCCTTAGTGGGACCCATGTTTCCTTCAGATGATATTGATTTTGGAGTGGGGGTGGGGCCCAGAATGAAGGGGGCGGTGGCGCTATAGGAGCAGCAGAGAGATCAAAGGCTTAAGAGAGAAAAAAAGAATTTAATTAATTATACAGGCAATATTATTTTTCTTCTTCTTCTTTTTTTTTTTTTTTGGTAGAGTAAAAGGCTGATGTCCCTTTCTTAAGGATTTAAAAGTAGGGTATACACAAAAGATAAAAATAAATATAGTTGTTTGTTTGGTTTTGGGTATTATAAGGTTGTATTTTTCTGGTCGGGAAGGTGTATTTGGTTTGGTTTGGACTTTGGACAGTTTTCTTGCCAAGTGTAGCCGTACGGTCCGCACGGATATTCCCCCTTGATTGATTTGTGTTGTTATTGTTGATTTTTGGAATGGTTCGATACGTTTGGTTTTTGTTATAAAGTATTTTAATTTTTTTTATATACAGTATTTTTTAATTAGGAATGAAACTTTAATACTTCTTACGTCCTGTAATTATTGTCCATTTTGAATTTTCATTTTTAGTTCAAATTATAGTAAAACTGAAATCTTAAACTGAACAATAATTTTAGGACAAAAGGAGTACCTTATAATAATTAAAAGAATGCAATAAATGTAAACTTACATTTTTTAAATTTCTATTTCAATTGAAATAACATTAAAAGATTAAAATCTAAGAAAAATCAAAACTTCCTAATAAAAAACTGGAGGGAGCATTTTGAGAAATTGAGTGTATTAAAACATGAAAAGTGGTCCTACCTAAAAGGTCTACAACTAAATGAAAAACAATATGTATATGTATATATATATATATATATATATATATTCCTCTAACACTTGCCAATAGCAGTTTATTAACAAAACAAGACGATTTATTTTATGACACACAAAATAAGAATCTTATTTTATAAACAGTACAAATGCAAATATTTTCTTTTTTTTTGAGTTTCTGATTGTTATTACTATTTCTTTTTATTTTTTGTCCTAAAACCGCTGTTCTCCTTATGGTCTAACACAAAAGGTCCCCAAAAGGCAAAAGAGGTGCTTCAAGCCACTGGTATTCAATAAATCCAATGCTATCGTGCCCTTTGGTTAGTGTTTTTGAGTAAATCCAATGCTACTGGTATTCTCAAAATAAAAATAAAAGTAAAAAATAAAAATGCTGCTGCTGGTGAACAAAAAAAGGTGACAAAAATAATCTGGCTTTTATTCTGCTGAAGTTAAAATTAGTAAAGAATCAGAATTCATCATCGAAATCATTATTCTCTTCCTCATAGTAATACTCATTTTGATCATACATTTGATCTCCATATATTTCTTCCCCAACATCATCTTCCATGTCCTCTTCACCCTCTTCCTGCTCATTCAAACTGCTCGATTTCGCTTCGTTTTCCTCCTCTTTTTCTGCTAGTTTCCCAGTACTTTTCTCGTTGTCTTGCTCAGACTCGACACGAGACTTCTTCGCATTCGAAGGCAACTGGAAGGACAACCAATCTCCCAGATAAGTCACAAGACTGTAAAGCACAAAACTAAAAGACACCCCAGGCTACGAAAATTGAGGATTGAAAAATTGACTTACCTCCTCATCAAATAGTTTATCCAGTTCGTCGTAATTGATTTTTGAACTTAATCCCTGAAGACACAAAGACATCATAATCTTTAAAGAACTACCAAAAAGAAAAGAAATTCAAAAGTACCAGTTGTTTGATCTTCATAAGCTACCAACAAAGAGGTTTACATTTTCAGAGAGAGAAAACCTCTTAGAAAATGATACTCCATGCCCCTGCAAATATATACCTTTTTGGTTAGCATCTGACGGGTAGCTTCAGCAGCAGTTCGAGGAGGGCCTGCATTTTTCTCTTCCAAAGCTCTCTTCTGCTTTCGTTGCTGGCATGAAACAAGGAAGATAGTCAGCCCACAAATCCAGAGCAATCAAAGTATCGTCATACCTCATGTTTCTGATTTTTCATAATCAACTCACGTAGAGCTGAACTATATATACAGAACAATTACAAGAACTGCATTCCATCCACAAAAATATCTTTTATCAAGGAGAAAGGGAAGGACAAGAGAATGTGCTTGTGGGCGGTAAGAGAGAGATTCTCGTGAAAGGTTCACCGCAAATATTAATAAGAGTATCCTAACGGTTCAGGACGTATTCTTTATCCTGGTGTCAAACTACCTCTCTTGATTTCGCGACAGCAGCTGCAGCAGCAGCAGCAAGTTTCCTTGCATCAAGCACATCATCTGAGGCGAATCCTAGATCTTTCATAGCAGCAGCAGCTGCCGCCTCTTTAGCTGCTTGTTCCTATAAAGTTCAGCTAACAGTGAGTTTCCCGTCAAAGTAAATGCAAATTTTATAACTACTCTTGTAAGCTAGAGACCAAAAGCTAAAATACTCAATAAATCACCTGGAGGTACTCCTTATTCATTTCTTCCCATATGATCTTCTTCAATCGGCTTTCTTCCTCACTATTAAGGTAGCAATTGACCTACCAAGGAAAGATACAGATGATCACCTGAAAATTTTTTCTAATGCCGAATTTCCACATTAACATTAATATGAATGAAAAACAAATGGACCAAAACAGAGCATCAAAGAAACAAGAAACAGAAGACAACCGCTTGAGTTTGCAAGCCTTGCGACTTGAGAATGACACATTGGACTCAGGTGGCTCAATTTGAAAATGAGGCATGTGGAATCAGTAGTTAATCCTGGAAACTTGGCATTTGTCCACTAATCCGGGGATTTACAAGATTATAACTTAAAATCAAGATATTGACAAAGCAAATATCTTCATAACTAAAAACGGAGCACAAATTCTTCATATGTGAGACAAGAGAAATACTAGCCTCTCACAACCATGTATTGGCCTTTCATAATTTAAAGTGAAGCATCGCTTTTGACCTTTATTGCCATTTTCAACACAAAATGACGATACACCATCATTGGATTCTCTAGCAAGAAGTATTCACCTATCTAATAGGTCATATGTGACAGGGGACACCACCACAGTAGGTTTTTCAAGGTTTGCATGGTAATCTAGAATAACCTACTGCGTCATGAAGTGTCCACACACACTAACATTGCCACAATGTGAAATATGCATGCCCACAAAATCTTATTAGTGATTAGACTTTCTTTATCATCAGTTTGGTGTTGGTGAGAATCCCATGCAGGGTCAGATTTAAATCTTTAAAAAGAAGCCCCAAATGCCCCAGCTGGTCAAAGCCGGAGACCTTTCTGATTGAATCACTCACCTCAAAATCATCAATATCGGAAAGATTTTCCGCATCATCTGTCATGGATGGATTATCACCATCTTCGGCATTAGTGCCATTAAAGGGTGCGTCCAGGTTTCCAAAGATAGCTGGTAAGAGAGATTGACAGATAGAGGTTAGAAGAAAATTGCATAACACTGGGAGATCATTCTCAATCACCATTATGAGACACTTACAAAAATTTTCTGCCTCTGTTATAGCCTCTTTCTTCTTGTTGAACACGTCGTCATTTGCCTCGTCAGGGCATCCTTCCTAATGAAACAATTTCAATGAAGTCAACAATGGCAACAAAATGAAACAAGAAGAATTGAAATAAACAACCCCAAAAGACACTAAAAAAGAAACCAACAAGAATCCTTTGCCGCATCATGGTATATAAGGCTCACCATGTCTTTGAAGTAGAAGTGGTTACAGCATTGAATTTCCGCTTCATCTAAAAAACTTAAGCTCATAAAAATAAAAGGAAATGGTGACTTTTTCCTGTATAAACTGCTCCTAAGATGGTACAACCTCATTGTACAATTTAAGGGAGAAACTGCTTCGGTAGATAGGAAATTCCCAAAGAGTTTGTGTGTTGGCGTCAACGAAGATTATTGGTTACCTCTCCAAATTCAATCTAGCGAGTTGACGTGTGTGTTTCATATCAACCTTACATAGCTTGTAAAAAAACATTTGAAGAACAATGCTATACTGGATTTAGCAGACAATGAGTCAATAATTGATCACAACTTCCAGGGCAGCATAAATGCTTGTATACAAATTGACTACTCCCAAAAACTATTCTTCAAGAGATATTAAAAATAAATAATAAATAAATTATCCCTACCTTTTCAGCAGATGCTTTGGCCAATCTCTTCATTTCAGCTACCTGGAAAGCTGGAGGTTCGGATCCTCCATTAAGTCCTCCCGAAAGTTCAAGAAACTGTAGTACATAACCAAACATGATTCAGGACACAAAGTCACACTCAAGCGAAATTAGATGTTGAAAGCAGGAAGTAAATCTACATCTTTGTAGCAGCTTCTGCAAAGCCCGTGAGCAAAATGAGGTTCTTTGCCTTTGTGTTCGCAAAGCACTTCAACCTTATCTGACTCACTGGCATTTACATTTTGCAGTTTATTAGAACGATTCTCCCTCTCAAATTCTTCAGCTTTCTGAGTGAATTCCTCGATCTAGAAAAAAGAAAGAAATAAAGAAGGAATTCAGAAAGGGATACTCAAAAGTGCAGTGAAGATAGATGATCACATATTTTCCCCCACTTTTTTCCTGTTTCTTTTTTCAAATTCATGCTGTTCCTAAGTTAAAAGCAAAGCACTAAATGGACAAAAATTTGTGGTAGATATGTATTTCCAAACAGATGACCTTGGCCAATATTGCTTTTTAACCTTGGAACCTTGCATAGTGCAGCTTGCAACTTGGGAGTCTATGAAACATCAATGATCAACAAAAATACACTAGGAAGGGCTTGCAAAGGAAGTGAAACTAAAATAACTTCAAGGCACTTACTGTTAAGCTTCCAGATTCTGTGTTCTCAAACTCGACCAATCTTTTCGTCAATGTCGCCTCACATATGTGAACAATTTTAATCTACACAAGGAAGCACATCCTAAAGTCATTCAAGTGCCAAAAAAATACACTTTGCAAATTAAACCACCCCCCAACAACACACACACACACAAATTTTGGATTACAGCTGCCAAGATTTGAACCAGTACCTGAAGGCTACAATTCCTCTTCCCTTAACACCCATCCTAGCCTACTCCCCAGGTTTTGAAGTTACATAGAAATTTTTCTAAAAAGGTTGCACACTGCCGGTGGTATCCCCTAAAAGAAACCTCTTCAGTAAGAGAAGTGCATATTGTTTCTCCAGTTATGTTATCCTAAATACTCTTTCTCCAAAGTCTTCCATTCTTTTCCTTTGCACATAATGATCTAAACAGATGATGAAGACAGACAATTTCACTTTTAACATCATTATCCAAAAAAAAAAAAAAACTTTTAACATTAGATGAATGTAGCATGTTGTCAAGATATAAACTCACTGCATTTACATTGAACTGAGCTATTATTAAGAATAGAAGACGGAAAGTAAAGTAAAAGGAAAAAAGAATCAGTACTCCATCAGTTGCAATTCAATCAACTTACATACAATAATGGTAATTTCTATTATTTCTAAATGCCACATCTGTACAGAAATTAGTCTGAAATGAATTTTATTCAGGAACATAATGGTAGAAGTGCAATCACTTACAATCTCAGATTTCGAATATTTGTACCCATGTGAAAGCGCAGAGATGAATAGTGCAGCACCACAAATCCCACTCGGTTTTCTGCCAGTCTGTAAGAAATTTAAGGTTACACTTCATAAGCACGTGATTCAATCTCCAAAATGGGATAAAGTAGTTGTTCAATTAAAGAGGAGTGTTCACTGACCTGCATCCAGTCTCGCTTCATACTGGCAACTATCTGAAGCGCAGTCCTCGAAACCTTATTTTGATAATCACCTTTCATTAAAGCTACAGAAACACATGGACATTAGGGGCAGACATCAAGGAGTAAATGCTATAAAACAATCTTGAAAACGCCACAATTTGATTTAAAGAATGATCACATTATGCTTGACAAAATAACATTTTAATTTAATAATCCAGTCAAGAATAATTAGTATGAGCTCAAAGCATGTTGCCGAAAAAGCGGTTTCATGAAGAAGAGAAACAAAGAAAGCTGAACTATGAAAATAGGGATCACATAGCTCATTTGTTTAAAAAGAATCCTACAGCTAATAGCTTCCCCAAAAGAGAAATTTATAGTGTGTAAAGGAAAACATAATAGCCTAAGCAAATATAAGAAATAAGTATACGGGTGACCAACTGGAAACCATCGCATTTATCTAAAGCAAAGTGACACTGGTGAGATCACACAACGGCTTTGCTGATTCAAATATCTATAAAGTACATTTTTCCCTTAAAATATTCACTACGTTTATTTTCATCGGCAAAAACAACTGGTGTTACCAAATAACATGAGATTCAAGCACTACTCCCAGAGAAAACTGGTTCCCTTGACTTCTAACAACCCCTTGGTATACGCTAAGTGTTGACAGGAATTTCTTTTCTGGAAGACGAAACAAAATCGCTAGTCAAAAAAAGACGATGAAGAGGTATCATGCTTAGACACAATAGGACCACACTTAAAATAAAGGAGACCAGGGGTAAAGCTTATGATCTTGCAATTAATATTACCTTTGAATTGACTAGTCACTTTATGAAGACACATTAGCCTGTCCATTTAAACCGGAGAACTAATTATTGATAAACTTTCGGTCTTCATTTTATAAAAGTAACAACAGGGAACCATACTCCTAGTACTCCATGACAACCAACAATAGATCGAAGCCAAAGTCCTTAGTAAAATATGATGAAGTGGAGCATTACCACTTGTAAATCGATGCATAAAAAGGCTGGGATCAACAGGCTTCTGAACAAAGGGATGCTCGTCCAGGCTTAATTTTTTGCAAAGCTCAAGATAAACAGCACCCAAGATATAACTATAAGAAGAAATTAAACAAATCAGTAATAGCAAAAGCAAAAAGCTTCAACTATATAAACACGACAGGAACGACACTATAATCGCTGAATCATAATTAAACGGAAACAAGAAATAGGCATGTCGGAATGGGTATTCTCTTACACATTCACACTTAACCAAATGGCAAAGTCAATCAGTAAAAATGGTTTGTTATTCACCCTGCAAGATAAACAGGGAACCAAGCATTAGACATTTACCAAGAAACTTGGGTAATATAACTATAAGACATCTCAAACCCTAAAATTTAAAGATGAAAACAATAAGAATCACAAAAGTAATCAGGATGCCATCTTTCTCCAACTTAAGGGAGCTATATTTCATTTAAAAGTTGTTCTGGGGAACAATTCTACATTGAATTTGAAAGATAACTGTCCTAGGAACAAATATCTCTATTATAAGGGGCAACTACATATACAGCTGAGACAAATCCTCCACAAGGATGCTAATCCCTAGCAAATTTATTCCAGAATTCCCAAGCAACTAACACACAAGAATTGACTTTCCAATACATTTTTGTGTGTCACTATAAAGATCATTCAAATCAACTGCCACGAGTAGCAGACCCATACAAGGGATGCAGAACAGAGACAACACCAATGGTGCTAAGATAAAAAATAAAATAAAAAGAAATAAAATAAAAGATGATAATGAAAGACTGTTACAAAAAAAAAATACAAAAAGGTAGCACTTCACGCACCGACAAGCAATGTATAGGCAGGCTGCAGCAACTTGCTCAGTTCTCCGACCTCTGGTAAAACTACGCTCAAGTGCTATCTGCAAGATCATAGTCATAACAAAACATTGAAAACCCACATTAAAATTACATCGATACTCATGGAACAATGAAGTTCACAACAAAAAGAAAGCCAGGGAGATCAGTCTCCAGAACAGACCCGATAAAAGGCAACAGCTTGATTTCCTAATGATTCATCGGCCATTTCCAATTTTGTCATCAAATCTTCAATGTGCCTCCGTCCTTTCTCTAATGTTCTTTCGAAAGACTGCGAATAATCATTTTGAACACTCCTTACAAAAACTCCATTCATCCGGCTCTGCACCCAAAGAATAAACAATCAGCAAACATTTATATAGATGTATACATAATATCAAGAAAAAGGCTAAAAATGCAATCTGTTTTTGACAATGCTTTTAACTGAAAATGCATTGTGAAGGAAAGAGAGAAAACAATACTTCTCCTGCCGGCCCTTTTGTGAAAGTGGGCTCATCTGTGAAGACATCTTGAAAAAGAACTCTTCCACATTCAGTACAACATCTGGAATAAATTGTAAAATATTGACAATAATCTCTTTAGAACACGGTGCATACGATTGCATTCATAAAGACACAGAAGACCCCTCCAACTATTAGGAAGAGTGGAAGAAAACATTATAGAATACTCACGTGTATCCACTAGAATGATCGCGATCAACTTGACAGTCTCTAACACAGTATTTACACCACACCATCTCTCTTTATGTACTATCGACAGAAGCCTAATAATCTCCAAAAAGAGAAAACAAAAGACATTCAATTGAAATACAATCAAATTCAAAAGCTATATTTTAAAAACAACAATAACAGCATAACAGAAACTACCCCATTCGTCCAAAGTGACCTACTTTGAAAGAGTAACTAGTACTATTGATAGCATTCCCAAGTTACAGCTGAAAAGGTAAAAAATAACCAACATTTTCAAGGAAGGAAAATTTCTGGTACCACTCATGATTTATAAACACATTTCCCTCCATTTCTCCCTCAGATGCACAAAAATAGAAGTTGAAATAAGGAATCCAACTTGGGAAAAGCTTGGAATTGACCTCATGGCATCAAATTTAAGCACTGTTATTGAGCAATTCCTCTATGCTAGTTGGAAGGGACCAAAAAAAGAAAAAAGAAAACAGTTTCTAAAGCACTTCCGAACAAGCTCAATCCTGAGTGTCTGAAAGAGGCTGGCTTTAAACAATTCTCCAACAAATGTTGAATGATTAATTTTATCAAGCGGCAATCGTTCCCTTGCTGGTGACTGAAGGGGGGTTCTTAAGATTTTTCAATTAAAGACTTCATTAGTTCTTACTTGAGATACACCGTAAAAGGTAGGAGTAGCAAACAACACAGGCGGTGGCCTCCGACTGGTTAAAGACTGTCTGCTTGCCTGCCGACGGCGGGAATCTAGCTCTCTGGCCTCCGGTGGTGCTATATTTCGAGAAAACCTGAGTCCCTACTGAGTTTCGAGACCGCGACCAACGAGTGGGAAGGCGCCTATTGAAAAGGGTCTCAAACCATCGTGGTGGAACCGTTGTCTCAGTATCAACACGTAGCGATTTAACAATACGTTCGTGATGTACTGGGCTTAACAATGCCAGTAAATGGGCCTGACTTCGAATGTGATTTGGGCCAAAATGCTAGTCTGGAATCCATTCCTATCTCGGTTTAATCCGACCATTTTAGAGGACTATTAAAGAAATGAAAGGGGAGAGAAAGTAATCAACCCAGCGAGACACGAATTGGGGAAAAATTATTGGGTACAGCTACTGCATCCTGATTTTTAGTGTAACAAGTATTAGCATCCCCTATTTTGGTGGTATAACTTCCGTAGAAATTATCTTTCCCCCCAAAATTACTATTTTTCCCTATTATTGTGTTTGGCTGCACAATCCTACGTGGTACAGCAGTTGCACTGAATAATTTCTCGAATTAGGGAACTTTAGTTAATAATCTTTCCAGAACATAGTTTACATATTTTGTTATGCGGATTCAATCAGCCAAATATTCTAAGCAGCTACAAAAATGATCCTCCAAATTCCAATTTACAAAGTCCAAAATGATGCCTAAGGCATTGACAAATTCCAGGAAAAAAGGACCTCTGGTGCATTCGGCTTCTGGCCCAGACCCAATGATTGAGCATTCCAAGCCCAATGATAAAGATTTAACAAAATGATCCAGGAATATGCATATTCGTCTACTCCTATCCATCAGTTCCTAGCGCAGAGTAGACAAAATATATAGTCCAAATATGAAAAGTGAAACATGGTATTACTTTATAATTCTGTACTAAGACAAACACAAACATAGCAGTACTTTATCTTGAGATCAAAATAGGAGGAATAGTGACACAAGTTATATTATTGAATATCGTAATACTTTATACAAAAAAGAATTAAGGAAAACTATTCAACACAAATTGCAAAATATTATATAGTATATTTGAACATATTTTTAATAAATACTCCCTCCGTCCCATAATTATTGTCCAGTTTTACTAAAATGAAAAATTTTATTTTTGGTCAAACTTAACTATATTTTACCTTAAACAACCGGATATATCCCTACATAAGTAATTGTTTAACCACTAAGATTTTATGGATAATATTTTTTACTAAGGATAAATGTGTAACTTGATCCATAAAAAGTCAAATTGGACAATAATTTTGGTACAAAATTTTTTGGGCAAAGTGGACAATAATTATGGGACGGAGGGAGTAACCTTTTTGGTCTTGTTGCTAATGTTACCATCTTGATCATTGGTTCTAATTTTAATTTCATGTCTTGAAGTAACCCTCGACGAAGCAACAAAAAGTTGACAATGTTTGAGAATAGGCATGATTAATATAATTCCACTTTAGAGAGATACTGACCCTGACTCCTATTAATTATTGTTACAAAATAAATGGCCACAGGAAACCATTTTCTCTTCATTTTAAACAGATGTATAGTATCATGAGTAATGATAAGGATAGTGATAAAATGTAGTGAATTTGGATAATAACTAATGAATAGACATTTACATCACACTTACTATATGTGTATTTATTAATTAAAGGTAAAAAGATAATTTAATTGGAAAGATAAAATTTCAACAAAAGAATGTCAAAAAAATAAAAGATCATATTTACTCCACATCAGTTACTATTTTTTGTCACTATCTTTTTCTCACTGTACATATTATTTTCCATGGTATTATATGGGAAAAGAGACATGCAAGGTATGCATATATACATTATATATCACCCCTATTGCATTGAAAAATCACCTTGAATGATATGCTTCCCAAACATCAGAACTCGAAACCTTATATTATAACACCGGGGTAAGCTCGCTGGTTTATATTTTTAAACAATATGTCTGAACTCTGGAATACCTTTTTTGAAATTTAATTTTATGCAGGATAATTCAGATCATTTAAATTTTCCTAAGAAAGCTAGGAGTAGACATACATGTATATGTATTTACACTACGATCTGAATTGCATATGCTATTTGAGTTTTAAATACACAAAATTTCATTTTCCTCTATTACGAACAACATGTGATAAGTCTTGATTTTTCACATTATCATTTGTTGGTGCCAATATTGCTCTCTTTTAGAATAAAGGTGGATTAAGGTTTTTTCTTTGTCTTTTTCTTTTTCTTTTTCTTTGCAAAAAAGAATCATGGAATGATGGAAAAATGGGTAGATAAATTATGTGTTATTTATCATTCTACAAAAAGGAGTTGCATAAATCAATTCCATAATTAAGTTTTTGGTTCCATGAAAAAAAAACACCTTCCAAATCTAAAATTCAAAACAAAATTCATAAAACATTTAGTTTAATTTTAAAACTTCATCTCAAAAGTTATTGCAACTCATTCCTTTAACAATCACTAATAGACTATGCATCGTCGCCACCAAGCCATCACCTGTCGCTGCAAGGCCGTTCCCGGTTCTAAATTCTGGTCATTCTCCGGCAAAGCTGGCAGATACTAGGGAGTAGGGATTTTTATTTTTGTTTTTGTAATCTAGCATTAATTTCGTTTCTTTTTGCCCCTTTTACTTGTTCTCTTTTGGAAGGAGATTTTCTTTTATATATAAGAATAAAAATTATAAGCAATCTTAAGATCTTGCCTACCCATAAATAAAGTTTGGTATACTCCAATAGCTTCATGATAGGTATTAATGGGGCGATAAGATAACATCATCGTCGATCACCCTTGGCTTTCATGTTGCAAGATTTGTTCACGAATTAATTTCCATCTCCCAACTACAAACTTGTTAACTAAAATTAATGCACTTTTTTTTTTCCTTTCTCCATTTGGTTCTTAAGTTGTGTAGTGTTTACTCCGTCTCAAAATTATTGTCCAGTTTAAATTTTTAATTTCTAATACTTAAAATCCAAATCGAATAATAATTTTAAGATAGAGAAAATATATTATTATCAATCATTGTTATTGCATCTCAGACGGACGCTACTCCAGTCTAAATTTTTCTTGAGAGTTGAAAATGAAAATCAAGATTATGAAGGTCTTATTCTAACATAATCCCAGCATGTAAGATCGAAACCGACTCCCAGAATTTGTTTAGTTTGTGGCCACTCCGGTTAAAATCTTAGCAGCACTTTCCCGATTACTTTCTATTACTGACAGTGATTTGATAAATGGAGGATTAATCAATACACGTGTTACATTGGATTCAGACAATGTGGCAGTTCAAGCTCAGAAAGACAGAAACCACGTCAGATAAACATAATTATTTGTTGTCCTTTTTCTTTGACCGCATAATTGACCACAAACAACAGAACAAATTATAAGAACCTTCCGAAGTCACTTCCGTCCTTTACCTATACTCATAAGTCATAACATTTCTTTTTCATTACTCTATTAATCTCTTTATCATAAACACTTAATCAAAACATATACTCATTGTTCATTTGACCAGTTTAATTCTGCCCTCATTGATATCCAATATGAAAAAACGGTTGCAATCGACTTAGGGATAAACAGGTTAACCATCTGTTTGTGCGAAAATAATCATTAGAAAATGACGCACGCTTACAAATAATTTCAAACAAAAGTTTGTAATTCGTGAGATGCAATATTCTATTAGGCGTAAAAGAAAAAAGATGTAAAACTTATAATAACTTGAATAAAGACTAAATTGATTCTAAATTGATGAACTAAACGAATTACCAAGAGTAAATCAAATAAAAAGACTCGTGAAAGTGCTGAAAAGAGCAATTGGGTGCGAAAAAATAAAAGAAAGATAAGAGATTTGTAGTTTGTGTTCTATTTGTGTTGATGATGAGTTGTGTGTTGCGTTGCTCTATATCTCTCTTTATATAGGGTTCAGTAATCGCCTATGTCGGTGCGATCTTCTGTTCCTAATTAAATTTGGTGTTGTCGATTTCGAATTACAGTTGTATTTTACTTTTGATTTCTTGTTTTTCGCTATAGTTGTAATTCGTCTTCAATTTGGATTTAGTCTTCTCCGCATTTGGTTGGGCTTTCGATGCGTCTTCTCTTCCGATTCGAAAGTGGATTTGCTTTCTCCGCGTCAGATGTGGACTTCTTGTAATGTAATATATTGGACCGATTCAACACTTTTGTTGGATCGACACGATTTTAATTAAAATCGGTGGTAATACCATACATCTGTGCAAAATTACAAAGGTTATACCCGAGTAAAATGATTACTTTTACGAAACGGAATACTTTGTCTAACGATTTTTTTAGCTTATGATTTTTTTTCTTTGATATATATGAAAATTATTTTAAAACACAATATCATAATTCCAAATCCACTTTACAACTCCATAATTGACTCCGCCAAAAGCGATGGTTGCTTTCTTTTTTCATCCTTTTGGTCGTTTATCTATATAATATACATAATTATCAATTTACATTCTCGAATTCTATAACCTTAGGAATACAAAAGATAACTAAAAAGTTATGGGAATTGCCAGAAAAATGCAACAAGTTGTACACAAAAATAATAACGTACAAAATGGAAAGGAATAATGCCACCAGAAGACAATTCCAGCTAAATAAATAAATCAACTGAAATAAAAACTGGATCAATATAACTTGTACTAAATATTATGAAATTGCCAATTGATACGAACACAGAATATTCTTTCCTGATAGTAAAAACAAACAAGAATATTCCCTTTTCATCCAGTTCTCCAAATGAGAATAAGGATTCCCTTTGAGATAAACATATCATATTCATATTACTACTACTAATTAAATGATGACATTTGAATTATTATTGATATAAAGGCTGTACAATATTAAAAAATAATTTGATACTAATTTTTTTTTTTAATGAAATGATACTTTATCTCGTAATTTTTTAAAAAGAAAATAAGTTATCATTTTCCCCTTTAATTAGTAGTCCCTCCATTCACAAATAGATGTCGTTGGAGGAAAACTCAAATATTCCAAAATAGATGTCGTTTTCACAAATCGAGGCATATTTTGTCAATTTTTTCCAATATCACCCTTACTTTGGAAATTGTTGTGATGTTTAATGTAGAATTGTATTAGAAGTGAATTTTATTGGGACTACAATTGAATTAAGAATAAATGAGGGTATTATAGTATTTTAACAAGATAATTATTGCCTCCTTAAACTTTGTGAAATCTCTCCAGCGACATCTATTTGTGAATGGAGGGAGTACACTATAAATATGAAAAATAATACTATCATGGGATACCTTTCTAGTTTCTCCCATGTTATTGGGCATCAATCATTGGGTACTAAATTACCAAAATACCCAAGTACAACGTGAGTGCAGCTCCCTGAGTTGTTGAAGACTTAAAAGTAGTTCGCGTGGTCAATAGCGTCCACAAGCTGGATAACCAACGCTAAACCATGGGCTAGGCGCCGCGTATATGCGACAAAACGACATCCACATAATATCACCGTCAGCTGAGGTTGACATTATTATCCCTTTGATTATCATCTTCTTTTCTTTTTCTTTTCTTTTTTTTTTTTGCCTTTTTCTTGTCTAATTACGAGTATTATTAGTATTCACTCGGTCACTCCTACCACACCAGGCACAAAACGACAATATCATTTGTCGTTAGGTCAGCCAGCCAGTTGGGCCATCTTTTCTCATCGGATAAACCTAAATAATTGACGACCCAGATTTTGCCACGTTGGTTGTAGATTCATTCCCACATTGTTGCATGGTTGGTCCCCGGAGCTGATAAGATTAGGCTTTAATGGATAAGGAGTAAGGACATAGTGTTGTCATCACGGAGATACACACCCAAATAACTGAAAAAGGTTATGCAGTTTGGCTCCTAGAATTCTCTAGATTGGCACTATAACCCCGCTGTTCTGCTTGTCATTTTCATTTACATCCTGGACAATTTGGACATAATTATTTAGTTTTAGAACATTCTAAGAAAATTAGGGATTTGATAAGACATTCTCACTAACTTAAAAATGTTACTCGTTAGGGCATCACAACATTTAATGATATTTACGTAAAACTCAAATGCATATCTTTTATAAATTTTACTCTTTCTTGTCGTACCAAAATAAAAGTTTTGCATTCAATTATTTTAAGACAATTAATAAGACTTCTACTTCGTTACGAAATTGAGTGTCTAAACTAGTGAGTGAATACTCCATCAATTATTATGCAGCTCCATTAATTCATTATTTAACACTAATCATTTGCTACCAACAATTTCTTAATTAATGTCCATTAATTCTTCGCTGAATTTTGGCCAAATTATTGCGACCCTTAAATTATGAAAATCACATTACCGCATTCATTTATCATAAGGCTATTTATACATTCTATCGCTTGTTTTCTAGCAGTTCCTACACAGAAGGGGAGGATGATTTTCCTCTTTTTTTTTTCTTTTTTTTTCTGACTCTTTACTCTTACTATTTTTGCCATTATCTGATTTGTTTTTTGAATTTTTCAATGACATTAACCTGCATTTATATCAGAAAAAGTAATTGCATTTACTTGGACCAGTATAAATGCATGAAACGAAGGAAAGAAGGGAAAAACTTGTGTTTCAAGCGATCTCGAAATTGAGCACGATCACACAACCAATCCGCTACATCTTACTTTTCATTTGTTATTTGGAAACAATTTTTATTTCATACACTGAGTACCCAATGCGTTAGAAAATAAATAAACTTTCTATGTCATAGAAGTAGGACTCATAGTAGTAGCATTTTGGTTTTGTTTTTAAGTGATTTGTTAGAGGAATACGACTATTATTTGTTGAACTATGTTTTTTTACAAGTATACAATTAAGATAGGAAAGAAATAAATCTCACGGTCATGATTTGAATTTCATAATTATAACTTTTAGGGAAATATGAATTAAAGGCAGTAGAAAGATATAAATTAATAAAAAGGGTACAACTCTTTTATAATTTAGATTAGGGGCAGTAATTTATTTTCTAAAATTAACAAAATTAAAATATTTATCCTTTGACAAGATTGTCCTTAGTTTTTGTCAAATAAAAAAAAAAAAAGGAACAAAACCCTGTTCCTCGCTCATATTCTCCACCCAAGCTCTACCGCCGACGTCTTGTTTTGCGAAATCACAAAAATCTTAGAAATAAATTACAAAATAAAATAATTTTCATTTCTTGATTAACTTGGATATATTCTTATACATTCTTTTGTGTATTTATATGATTAAACATCAAGTTGAAGATTTTTTACAATATTAAATGTAACAATTATTTTTTATTTTACGAACAAGTTCCTCTTTTCGATTTTTAATATATCTGATCATTTGTTACTCTTTGAGAATCTAATTATTTATGAATTTAAGTGATTAGATCAAAGTTATTGCACGATTACTTTAACATGCTTCTATACATATTTAACTTTGTATTTGACCATGACCACTCAATTTTTTGAAGTACACAGTTTACTCTTCATGTTTGATTATAAAATTTTAATGGAAAAGTAAACTATGAATAACAATCTTGATATGTAGAAAATACATTTACATAATAAATTGTCATGTTCTAATTTAAGGAAATTTGATATTCAGGAAATTGTGTAATTAGAGTTGTATGTTACCGTTGCAAGAAAAAACTTATGATTATGGGATGCAATTAAATTATCCAAGAGTCATTATAAAAGAATTAGGGTAATCCAGTCATTATATGAATATTTTTATTTTAAATATTTCATAACATTATTTATTGTCCTTAATCCAAATTATAGAAAAGTTATGTCCCTTTTATTAATTTAGATCTCTTCACCACTCTTGATCCAAATTTTCCCTAATTTTTATTACAATAATCTGTATAATATCAATTTATTGCTTAGACTCGAAGTGTTAACTCGCGATTTTCGTTATGGTGATTGAATGATAACGGAGAAGAAAAAGAATGTGCAAGAATCTCAACCTAGCACAACAACCATATTGTTTGAGGTAGTATCTTTTTCTTTGTATAAAAAAAAAAGAAAAAAAAAAAGAAAGCCAATTTGTGCAGTTCATAAAAAGAAAGGGTGTAAGTTTGAGACTTTGTTGGTATTTTCAGGGGGGAGACTTGCAACAAGAAAAAAAAAAAACCGTAAAAATATAAAAATTCCAGTATATTCGAGTTTTGGACAAAGAGATATCCATGAGATGCATTCCTATCAAATAATTGACTTAAGACTGACGTGGATCCTGGCTGTCGGTACCCAAACTTGGACTTTTCTTAACTTCTCGAATCCAATTGGGATAAGCCACGTGTACACAGATCCCCACCATCATGAATTCATGTGCGAGAAAAGCTTCATCATGCCACTTAGGAGAGGGTAGCTGGGTCCCATATCCGCGTCTGTTATGCCCTAATCCCCCTAGAGGGTAGAGAAGTATAAATATCGGTCCCCATTTCCTATGGTTAAAAAAAAAACGCAGCAAAGCAGCTTCTCTCTGTTTTTTTTCTCTAATAATAAGCCTTTTTCACTTTTTTAGAGCGAAAAGTTAAAACCATTACAATAGTTGCCAGCCTCGCCGGAACAATATGGGTCGGAATTATCACATGAATCACCGGATTTTGATGTGGGAGAACCTTGAAACAGATTTTTCCGGTGACCCGGCAATCAATATACAGGATACTGTGTTCGGTTTCCTGGACGAAGACAGCGAAGGCTCGTCGGCCGGCAGCTTCAGCGACGGAAGTTATGGTGATAATCATCAAGTCGAAGACGAGATGGAGGATGAAGAGAAGGATAATAATAATAATTCAGAAGATGCCGGCGATAAAAATTTCTGGGAATCCCAGAATGAGTTATTACAGGTAAACGTTTCTTCAGAATGAAAATTTTCTGTTTTTCTTTCAAAATTTTTTTTTTTAATCAGGAAATTAAACATGCCCTTATCGGCCTTACATATCATGCAGGCAACATTATGTAGAACAACTTCATTAGAAACAAAGATTCGAAGCATTACAAAAGAAGCTGTAAAAGAAGCGCAACGGCCAGGGAATGCAATTTGCGTTTGCGGAAGAGGAGGTTTTGATGGTTGTAGATACTGTCTGATGAAAGAAATCTGTGGACGCCTTCAAAACGCAGGTTTCAATTGTGCAATTTGCAAGTCCAAGTGGAGGAGTTCACCAGATATTCCATCAGGTACCTACTTTCAAAAAACCCCCCCAATAATTGTGTCTTAAAAACTAGTATTGAATAATTTGCCAATTTGGATTTGTTTTTTTTTAATACAAAGCTGGATAAACTTTGTCCTTTCTTGAACAAATACAAAATAGCATAAAACTATGATCACCAATTTGATCCATTGAGATTTTAAAAGTTAAAACCACAAGAAGTCATCATTCTGTGGTAATACAGAAAAATGGACTGAAGAAATGGGATGGTCATTAAGTTCGAAACAGAGTTCTAATAGGTTTGTATTGTGTGTTTTTCTCAATTGCAGCAACTTTCGCTGTTTTACAGGTGAACATACATTTTTGGATGTTATAGACAACTCAACAGCAACTTCCCAGAAAGAAGTTCGGGTAATCATCGAATTGAATTTCCGGGCCGAGTTCGAGATGGCAAGGGGAAGCGACGAATACAACCAGCTAATCAAAAAGCTCCCTGAAGTTTTTGTCGGCAAAATAGAGAGATTATTATCACTGATCAAGATTTTGTGTTCAGCTGCTAAGAAATGCATGAAAGAGAAGAAAATGCACTTGGCGCCGTGGAGAAAACACAGATACATGCAAGCTAAATGGCTGAAAACCCGTGAACGAATTACCACTACATCTTCAAAGCCCGTATCATCATCATCATCATCAACAATGGCAGGATATTCCGGTCGTCCAGCTCGGCCCAGGGCTTCAATGCTTACTGTAGATTTGTTGGAGAACTATCCCGGCTTACATCTTACTGCTGTTGAAGTGGTTTAGATTATTTAACCTTTGTCATAACAACCTATTTTTCCCCGTGTAAAAAAGTCCCCTGCCCACGCCTTTAAGAGGAATGAATGAGAGAAATAGAAGTTTCTTACCATTAATTTTGCTGATCTCTTCTGCCTATCTGTGTGTATACGGAGAAGAGAACTGCTATATTTCTATACTAATTTCAGGCACCTTCTGATAAACTGTTCTATATCTCCCCCCAAGAAAGAAGCGTCCACCAAATTGCTGCAGCAAGCAAGAAAAGCAAACAACAGTCCTGAAAAGATCATAGGCATGAGGCGAAAACCTAACCAAAGTTTTTCCTATGTAAAAAGAAGGCGCAAGAGCTGCTGTTGCTTTACTGTTACAGAGTATATTGAACAGTATCTGAGGGAACAAAAACCTATGCCTGATGAAACCTGCATAAGACTGGAAGCCTGCCCTAGAAGATTTAGGCTGTTCTAGAGCTGTCTTAACGGTGGATTTCGATTAGCCAAGCAATTAAGGAACCACCTACTTACAAATCTAAGCATGAACACATAGCTGAATCCAGAGGATTAAACCTCAACTTGACATCAACCAAACCTACTTTGATTGAGTAGAACAAGGCCTTATTAAGGCTCCATATCTTCAAACATGGTATCTTCCCTGCATAAAGATCTCTTCACATTCTCAATCTCGGTATATTCATACTTCGCCCCAACAACGTCTCAAATCCTAGTTTACGCTTACACTAAACTCAACTCTACCAAAATAACCGTACATGGAACAGTCTAGGAAAAAGTTCGTGTCTCGAAGGAGAGTCAACTGGTAGATAATCCGTACATGGAAATTGTAAACACCGTCACCGCAGTGAGAGGATGGCAAGAGATCAATTCCAACGGTCCGGGAATTTCTTCTCATTGAGTTTCAAGGCTCTGCTTTTCAGTACTGTCCTGCTGAATATTTTACCTGGTGACAGACAATAAGAAAATTTTTTAAAATTTAAAAACTTGCCGGGAATAGATTCCATCCAAATTATCATCACAGTTAAATCATGTATTTTTTTGTTTGAAAAGAGGGTAAATGGAGAGATAAAAGTGATGGAAAAGAAAAAAGAGTTCAAACATTCAATTTTGTTTGGTCTTTGGAGCATTGTTTCAGATTTAAGGTCGTGCCAACTTAAATAGAATGGATGTCCTGTTTAGCTCCTTTCAAAATGCCCAGCTAAAACAGAGGTCGTGGTACCTCCTTATATAAGGTGTTATTATGGTCTTGATCATCAAAAAACACCGCCTTCTTCCCATGAAGCATGCCAAAACTTCGGGTTTGCGTCATTTTGATGGTCAAAGTGAAGCAGAAAGTCCATTTTGATTCCATAGACTTCAAGTTTTAAGTTTTAACTATTAACAGCACCACCATCATCACTCATCAGCATGTAGGTCGAGCTATGCAACCCATTTAGTTAGATAAATACGCAATCCTCATTTGTTGAGGATAAAAAAGGACTACTGTTTTATGAAAAACACTCTCTTAAGAGATTTTTCATTAATTATCTAACTCTAAAGTGACTAACTAAGACCCCAACAACCCCAATGGATGAGTATCACTATATCATAAAGGATGTGATGCCAAAGTACATGAAAAGATCTTGGGCCGTTGTTTTTTTTTTCTTTTTTTTCCTTGATGTAAGTTTTAGGCCTGTGTTGTATTGTATTGTCTTCTTCCCGGGAAAACATCTTAATCTGGAGTCTTCAAGCTCAAGAACATTAAGGATTTAAGAAGAAGCTCGCACAAGTAAATAGATCTTCTGACAAAGTAGAAATGAAATGAACTTTTTTGCCGAGGAAAATGAATGAATGTATGGAACTATATTAACAGAAGTTACAAATTACAAACCAAACTATTGAATACAATTATGAAACACTTGTTTCAGTTGCCAATCTAATTAGACAGTGAAGATGACAGCCCTTGTCTAATTTTTTCAAATGTGGGGTAAGAATGTGAAAGACTACTGCTGTATGAGAAATCAGACCACATATTATCATTGGTTTTCATCCTCCCAAGAAGGTATACTTTCGTATCCTCCTCTTCAGATTCATCAACAAGTTCAGGATTTTTCCCTTCTAAAAGCTTCACAACTTGTCTCATTGTTGGCCTAACATTAGGATCAGGATGTGCACATATTAGGCCTAAATGCAGAACCCTTTCCATTTCCTCATTGTCGAATCCTCCCTTCTCCTTTAGTCGATCATCTAAAGCACTAAGCAGCTCATCTTTCTTAAAAAGCTCTAACACCCAATCTAAAAGAAATGGCTTTCCTTCGTCTATTGGCTGCCTACCACATAAGACCTCCAAAATCAGTATTCCGAAACTGAAGACATCAGTTTGTGTTGAAGCTCTGCCGTTCTTGACCAATTCCGGCGCCATGTATCCCACGGTTCCAACAACACGAGTTGTTGCAGCCATTTGATCGTGATCGTGCATCCTAGCCAACCCGAAATCGCCTAATCTTGCATTCATGTCTTTGTCAAGTAAGACATTGCTGGCCTTAACATCCCTGTGAAGAACTTTGGATTCCCACCCTTCATGCAAATAAAACAAAGCTGATGCCACATCCTTCAAAATCCTAATTCTGTCTTCACAACTCAAAAGCTCGCTGTCATTATGATGCACAATTCTCTGGTCCAAACTTCCATTTTCCATGTAATCATAAACCAATATGAAGTTACCCTTTTCTTTCTTACACCAGCCTCTCAATCCCACTAAGTTCCTATGCTTTAGTCTTCCCAAGCTTGAAACTTCAGATACAAATTCTCTCATCCCTTCACTATTCCGATGTGAAATTCGCTTCACGGCAATCTCCGCCCCACCCACTAATGTCCCTTTGTAAACTTTTCCATTACCTCCAATTCCAATCACATTTTCCTCTGAAAACCCCTTAGTTGCAGACTCAATCTCCTGATAACTCATTCTATGAGGCCAATACTCCAACTCCCAATCTTCTATTTCCTCAATTTCTCTCTTTTTTCTCTGACAAATTTTCACAAGCATGAAAGAAACTACAGATGCCAAAACCAGCATAAGAAAAAGTCCAACTGTAAGACCTACAATGAACCCTTTTTGTTTAAAGATCGGTTCTTTTGGCAGCTCAAATGACGGCAAGCTATTTGTGATTAACGCGTCACTCAGAGAGAAATTGGTATTGCTGTAACTCCATGCTAAAATCTTGTGACTTTGAACTAACTGACCTGTAGATGAGGTGAAGTCCACATACATTTCATCCTGGAAAACTTGAGAAAGATTGACAGTTGCATTTAACAAAGGCCGCTTTGGCCTTTTCATCCCAGTTGGAGCCATGGTCACATTGATTCGAGAATCAGCATAATCAATCCAAACTTGATAAGTCTTCCCATTATTCATTTTCACAGTCTTGAAAGGCTGTCCATCATCAGGCCAATACCCTGCATCATGAGCAAAATCCGACACAAGTGAATTGATATCGATCCCAACATGGCTGTCACTAATATCCTTGAATTCTTCATTTCTAAACACATCAAACTCAACACCAAAGAGATGATTTTCCGGTTTCCCCATGTTTGTTAAGTTGAGCAGTCCCAAATTCTGGGCTGGTTCAGTCCCATCGATCCCAGTCTCAGGTACAAACAGGAAAACGAACCCATGACCAGGGCTATAAAGCCTGGAGGGCGCCATGGCAAAGATGAAAGAAGTTGAAAATGGAAGGACATAAGATGAATTTGCTTCACGGGTAACAATCTTTGAAGGGTAAAGCCCACGTCCAATGTTGTGTACTGACTCATTTGTTAGTGTAAGAATCTGGGATTCGATTGTGGCATTTCCATAGAGTAATATGTTGGAGGAATTGAAACTATTAATGACAAAATCAGTTCCAGATATTTGTCGGAACAGTAACGATATGGATAAGAGAATAAATGGCTGCAAGAGAAATTGTTGACAATTCATATTTCCAGAAAAGATGGGACAGATGAGTATCTATGTGTTCAAAGAGGAGGATTCAGTGTTCATTTTAGGAAGTTTGAACTTGAAAGATCTCAACTGTATCTGAGAATGGTTGGAAGGAAATTTCCATCTCAGTTGCTGGAAATGGTCTTGTTCTGGCCTTATGACCTGGTGAATTGAGATCCGTTCATATCAATAGATTTTTCTTTCGAGAAAGATTTTTTTTGAAACTTTTTTATGTCTCTATCCACAGTTATAGAAATTGATCTTCTACTGTTAATAACTTTTCTTAAACGATCACTTCATGAGTTAACCGACATACTTTTGCTATCTAATCTAAATTATAGTACTCCACATTGGCAAAGCATTTTTTTTTTTTAAGGAAAGCAACTTAGTTGATTTGAAAGCTAGACATAGTATATATCAAATGTCACCTTAACCTCTACTCAGTTTTAAGATTTTGTGGTGTTGTGAGTAAATGGAGGTAGAAGCTTAAGTACAGTAGTAAATCTTGTAACTGGATGGTCACGTGTTAAAATTGGAGAAGAAATGATAATCCTACGGACAGCACAAACATTCCTGCGAAGAGACTTTCAATACCAAAAATTGTTTATGAATGATATATATCTTTAATTATTTTTTTGGGGGTAAGTATTCGAATTCATTGTTCCGACTAATTATGATTTAAACCGGGTAAGCTTCTTTCGGGAAGGAAAACTCTCCCAATAAATATTTTAATCACTGTTGCATATCCATTCTTGAATTTAAATCCGGGTCATAGTTAAACTGACACAATATCTTTATCACTTGGATTAAGTACTTGTTGATGATATAGTCTAATTAATTACTTGTTGTTCCAAAGTTTGAACAAGGATCCTCTCTAAACTAATTAATATATTTATATTTTACCTATTTATTATATCCCTAATTTGTGATTTTTGCAATATATTTTGAGTACAAATATGTTATTTATATGATTTTATCTTTATTTGTAGGTTTTGTACTCAAATGGAAGAATTGTTGAGGTTTTGGACTAAATTAAAAAGAAAAAAACAACTCAAATGGAGAATTGAAGATTTGATAAATTGACAAGGAAGAAATTGAAGCACTTGCAGAGTTGGAGGAGTTGTAATTTAAATTGGTTTGAAAAAAAATAATAACTTTCTTATTCCTGAAAAAATAGGGTTTGACGAAAGCCTATAAAAGAAGGATTAAGGTTTTATTTTTGACACAGAACTTGACCGTCCTTCACAAAAAAAAAAAAAAGCCAAAACCCCAGCCATCACCTCTCCGCCGACCATCACCTCTCCCCATCTCCACGCACCGCCGCTCCAGCACCCCATCACCACAAACACTAGCCCCCGGCACCATCTCATCCCATTATCATCACCTTAATCTCTACACCTCACCACCACCGCTCCACCTTCCATTCACGCAGCTCCAACACCCCATCGCCCTTGCTTTCATTCACCTTAATCACCATCATCAACTCACCGACGCAACTCCACGCAGCCCTCCTCCAACTCCAAAACTCACGCCTCCATCATCCTTTACGCACATCATCATCAACGGAGGAAGCAAGCAGCAACGCATCAACCTCGACTCAATTTTGCGACTTCTGTCTCTTGGGTTTCATTGTTTTATTTATTTTTGAGATGATGTGTAGCTAAATTATTTAATCTAGGGTTTTGGATGTAGCCGCCGTACTATTTAATTTAATTTAATTCATGATTGTGACTTTTTCATTAGTTGATATTTAATATTCTTGTTTTTATTCCATGTAAGTATTTGATCACCACTTGCATGCTTAAAAGATGTTTAACTGAAGGAACGACGGTTGAAGGTTAACATTAGTTCATGGGAATATTAAACTTAGGTAGTGAGCCACGACAGTAGGAACACCGCCTTTGCAGCTAGAGATTCTAAAGTTCTTAATGTGTTTTTATTAATCCCTATAGTCACGACAGTAGTCATAGGGTTAATTTAAATAAGAGAATCATATCACGACAGTGAATATTTCTTAAATAGGTGAATCGTTGTGAGATTAATGAAAGTCTAAAGTCACATATCTATAAGTTGAGTTAAACTGAGTAGTCGGTAGGTGAACCCTTTGCCCTAGGTTTTCTTTTATTTGTGTAAAATCTTAAATTAATTGTAATTGTTAGTTTTAGGTTTAGATTAGTTTAAATTGATAAATTATTAATCTAAATAATAATAAGAAATAATTTTAACCGGTACTTCGTAACCTTCTCTGTAGGATCGACCCTACTTGCTACTTTACTACTAGTAATTGTATTAAGTAGATAATTAATATTTGACTAGTGTGACGACGGCTTGTCAAATTTGGCGCCGTTGTCGGAGAGCGCATAACTAATATCAAAACTAGATTATTTCTTTTATTAATTTAGATTTGTATATAGTTTTCTTTGTTTTATTAATTATTAATTTTTTTTTATTCTCTTTTCTTTCTTATGTCAATATTTTTGTAGGATATTTGAGCTATTATGGAGAATTTTAATTATGGATATGGAGATGCTCCGTATTATAGTTATAATTCTGAATATGGAGACTATTCTACATATCAAGAAGATTCGTACTCTTGGAACAATTCGTCTTCTGATCCTCACTATGGTTGTGATTATCAAGGGTATTCATTTGATGCTGGGTACAATTCTGGTTTTGAGAGTGCGTATATGAGTCCTAATATGTTGTCATGTTTAGAGAGAATTGATAAATTGCTGGATGACATCGAGAAAAAAAATACTTTATATTTCTCTCAAGAGGATTGTTATCACTCAAATGCATCAGTATATCAACCACCACTTCCTTAACCAACTCTAAAAGAGTTAGCAGCTCGTCAACCTACTCTGAGAGAGCTAGCAGCCTTACAGTCATCACCTTGTCAACCCACTTTGAGACAGTTAGCATCTTCGTATCAACAACCACCTGCTCAACCTCAACTTACTGTTAGAGAGGCAAATCTTCGAGATTTTCAAAGTGAAAAAGGCCAACAACTTATCGAAGAGGTCAATCAATATAGGTTGAGTGTGGGGTTGCCAGAATATGATCATATAGGAAATTTGCTTAAATTGAATAAGAATGAGAAGATTTCTGAAGATGATTCATTGGTCCAGTCTCCCCAGCCACCATCTCAAACTGAGCTTGAATGTGAAGAATTAGAAGAGACCGAAGAGATTACAAGTCTAGATATTACAAGTTCTCTTGATTCTTCTGGTATATACATAGTAGTTAAGCATGATTCGCTCATTCTGAGAGTTGGTGACAAGGATGTGGATCAAGTTGATTTCACTGAACAGAACATTCTTATAGTTTCAAAAAAAGGGTTTCAAGTAGATAAATGTGGCGAGGTTGACCTAAAGTATAAGAGGTAGTGTGGATGATGTGAAAGTTGATTCAATAGAAAACCAAGAAGAGGATCAATGGTATAAGATTGAATTTGAGAAAGAGGATGATGTAGTGTTAGAGTATAAGTTTATATTTTCTCATGGCAAGGAGAGCCACTACAAGAGATTCATTGTTGCTGCTGAACATGGTTTCTTCTGGTATCGAGATGGGTGAATATTTCTTAAATAGGTGAATCGTTGTGAGATTAATGAAAGTCTAAAGTCACATATCTATAAGTTGAGTTAAACTGAATAGTCGGTAGGTGAACCCTTTGCCCTAGGTTTTCTTTTATTTGTGTAAAAATCTTAAATTAATTGTAATTGTTAGTTTTAGATTTAGATTAGTTTAAATTGATAAATTGTTAATCTAAATAATAATAAGAAATAATTTTAACCGGTATTTGGTAACTTTCTCTGTGGGATCGACCCTGCTTGCTATTTTACTACTAGTAATTGTATTAAGTAGATAATTAATATTTGACTAGTGTGACAAGGGCTCGTCGCTAATCAAAGTAGTTTACTGATCCTCTGACTTTTGGACTTTTTGAGTGGAGACAAACCAGCACAATTTAAAAGTTTTAACCATAAGTGAAATCAGAGATGTACGTCAATCCGTACATACCAACCCAAATTCCAAGTCAAAACTTCAAAGTCAAACCAATAATAATGTGATCTAGGGAGTTCCTTTCCTCGAAGCCCCGAGCAGTCTCTTTTTTTGCAACTTGCGGTTCGTTTTTTTTAAACTACCAAATTCTCTAGTTGATTCATTATTTCAATTCGTCAAAAGCTGGACTATGGGATTAAATAAATAAAGACCAATTCCACCGAAAATGTTTGAGTCAAAGAACAATAACAAATCATACAATAAGCAATACAGCAAGCAAAGTTTAACAAATTAAATTGTGATCTGTAATCCATGGGAGGAAGTTTCCTTAACGATTGGCTCTTTTTCTTCTTTTTGTTGTTCTCCAGAGTTAGTACTTCTTCCTGTCCTTATTATAAAGTATTTTGATTTTGTCTTAGATTTCACTTAAGATGTCTTTTTAATTGAAATAAAAACTTTTAAAATATTTCATAATAATTAGAAGAACACAACGAATGTGAAAATATATTGTTAAGATTTTTTTTAATTAAAATACATCCAACATCAAACTTAGGACAAAATCAAAATGTTTTATAATAAGAATCAAAGGAAGTATTTTATAAAATACATGTTGCAAATTGGGATCGATCATCTAACTTGAGCAATTGATTGATCACTTTTGACTTCCCGATAAAAAAAAAAGAACAAATTAAACTCCCTCATTCTAAATATAGTTATCCTCAAATGCGTGTATATATGTGCACGAATGAATTAGTTGATTTGTGCTATATTGCAGAAATTTATATGAAATTTGTTGCATATGTCGTACGTTCCAACTTATTTTTTCTTTGTTAATCAACCGTTCACCAAGCTTACATTTTTCTTATTATAATTTCGAATTCGTTTAAATAAAAAGAAATTGACAAATGGACACTAATTTCAGCTAGTTAAGTAACTGACTAACACATTCCGACCATACAAATTATGCAATCATATTCAAGTGACTTATCGCGTAAAATGTCAAGATAGTCATTACGGCAAATCCATAACCATTTCCTATAAAGTCATATAAATACAGGAATAGTAACGTACGCCATTATAAGTTTAGAGATATTTATAATTTTTTCCTTTAGACTTATCGCACAAATAGAAATACATTAAGGAATGATTAAATTAGAGTTTTAATTAATTTGATCCATTAATCTAGAGCGTTATACATAACTAAAAGGAATTTCGATTGAGTAACAGGGTGTTCAAATTCTGCTTTGGACATGCTCAAGGATTTATGCTTTTTGATTAGGTGGAGAATTAAAATTAAACCAAACCCAAAAAAAAAAAAAAATAAAAGGTTGTACAAAGATAATCTATGAACGCCAAACATCAACCAAAACACCTATAAAGTACCAACATCTTATTTGTCCTCCTAGTACAACTTACTTTAGATTTTTTTTAGTTGAAATTTTTAATCTGCTCAAATACCGACTAAAATCCATTTCTCCTAGTTTGACTTTCCACCATATGATCACAAAGTTGAGAAGGAAAAAAAGACGGTACAAAATCTATCTGGTCCAGATGCCTAACGTGGGGTCAGCCGCTTGCATGAGCAAAAGCGACCCTTCATTTGAAGAAATTATTTCAGGCCACTAGAAGTTGATATTAAATTAAAAGAAAAAAAAGAAAAGAAAATGAAAGTATGAATGATGAAGGAAGAGTTGAACTTTAAGATGCATTATTATTGCTCTTCGAGAATTGTCAAATCAATTTGTTATTGTTACAATCAATCACAAATAGGTGTTCTATACATAAAGCAACATAATTATGTTTAATTAAGTATGGTTAATGCACAAAAGAGAGTCTTTAAAAGCCATATTTAGACCAGAGCAGACAGAGACAAAGCATGTTACTCCAAATTGAAAATCATTAAAAAAAAAAAATCTTTTGCCTTTTGGAAACGTAATCCAAAAATATTAACGTATTTCAGTCAACCTCTTCGACTCCAATCTGCTCATCACAGGTGAGATGAACTTTCCTTCTTTCATCATTCTCAGACAAATTTGTTCTTTTCTCTTCTCTCTCCCAACATGAACATTGTTGGGTTGTTTCTTCTTTGAACAAAAGAAAACTCATCTGTTTAATCTTTCCTCTGGTACTATTAACATGAATGGTCAACGGCTTCTCCTACTGTTGTTATCCTTTTTATTATTGTTGTTCCGACAGATATCAGCTACTGATTTTGTCATTAATAGATTCAATTCATCCAGTGTATTGCTCTATGGAAATGCCACCATCGAATCCCATATTCTTACACTCACAAAAGATTCGACCTTTTCCATTGGTCGTGCTCTGTACCCCACGAAGATTGCTGCCAAGAAACCCAATTCATCTTATGTTCTTCCATTTTCAACTTCTTTCATCTTTGCTATGGCGCCCAACAAGCTTTACAATCCTGGACACGGAATAGTTTTCTTGTTTGTTCCAAAAACAGGGATCGATGGGACTGCAGCTTCTCAGAATTTGGGTTTGCTCAACTTGACGAATTTGGGGAACCCAGATGATCATCTCTTTGGGGTCGAGTTTGATGTGTTCAAGAATGAAGAATTCAAGGATATTAGTGACAGCCATGTTGGTATCGATATCAATTCACTTGTGTCGGATTTTGCTCATGATGCAGGGTATTGGCCTGATGATGGGCAGCCATTCAAGACTGTGAAAATGAATAATGGGAAGACTTATCAAGTTTGGATTGATTATGCTGATTCTCGAATCAATGTGACCATGGCACCAACTGGGATGAAAAGGCCTAAGCAGCCTTTGTTGAATGCAACTGTCAATCTTTCTCAAGTTTTCCAGGATGAAATGTATGTGGGTTTCACCTCATCTACAGGTCAGTTAGTTCAAAGTCACAAGATTTTAGCTTGGAGTTACAGCAATACCAATTTCTCTCTGAGTGAGGCGTTAATCACAAATGGCTTGCCATCATTTGAGCTTCCCAAAGAACCGATCTTTAAGCAAAAAGGGTTCATTGTAGGTGTTACAGTAGGAGTTGTCCTTGTATTTATTTTGACATCTTTGAGTTCTTTTGTGCTTGTGAAAATTTATCTGAGAAGAAAGAGGGAAAGAGAGGAAATGGAAGAGTGGGAGTTGGAGTATTGGCCTCATAGAATGACTTACCAAGAAATTGAGGCGGCAACAAAGGACTTTTCTGAAGAAAATGTGATTGGAATTGGGGGGAATGGAAAAGTGTATAAAGGAACATTGGTGGGTGGGGCAGAGGTTGCTGTGAAGAGAATATCTCACCAGAACAGTGAAGGGATGAGAGAATTTGTATCAGAAGTTTCAAGCTTGGGAAGACTAAAGCACAGGAATTTGGTAGGCTTGAGAGGCTGGTGTAAGAAAGAGAAGGGTAGCTTCATTTTGGTTTATGATTACATGGAAAATGGGAGTTTGGATGAAAGAATTTTCCTTCGTGATAACAGCAAATTGTTGAGTTGCGAGGAAAGAATCAGGATTTTGAAAGATGTGGCTTCAGCACTGTTTTATTTACATGAAGGATGGGAATCCAAAGTTCTTCACAGGGATATTAAGGCCAGCAATGTCTTACTTGACAAAGACATGAATGCAAGATTAGGCGATTTCGGGTTGGCTAGAATGCATGATCACAACCAAATGGCTGCAACAACTCATGTAGTTGGTACAATCGGATACATGGCACCAGAGTTGATTAAGAGTGGCAAGTCATCAACTCAAACAGATGTATTTAGTTTTGGGATACTGATTTTGGAGGTGTTATGTGGTAGGACACCAATTGATGAAGGAAAGCCACTTCTTGTGGATTGGGTGTTGGAGCTTTTGAGACTAGATGAGCTGATCAATGCACTAGATGAACGAGTAAAGGCGAATGGAGGATTCAATGAAGAAGAAGTAGAAAGGGTGCTGCATTTAGGCTTGTTATGTGCTCATCCTGATCCCAATGTTAGGCCAACAATGAGACAGGTTGTGAAGCTTTTGGAAGGAAAGAATCCCGAGCTGGTTGATGAGTCCGAAGACGAAGATTCGGAATTGTACCTTCTTGACAAGATGAAAACAAGGAATTTTAGGTGGCCCGATATGTCTTTCAGTAGCAGTTCACAATCACAATCACACCCCACGTTTGATGAAATTAGAGAAGGTTTGTCATCTTCAATGACAATTTCTTGGTCTAAATCTATGGCTGTGGGTAGGTGATTCATGTGTATATAGTAAAATCATTGTCAAAATCATTAATTTAAATTTGTGGGATGTTCTTATTTATTGTGAGAAGATGATGCATCTGAAACCAGACTAATTCCAAGGGGGGAGCCGGCGATCTTGAAAACGGGTGTTCATTGGATGGAGTCAAACCAGGTTGGCGAATCAGCTCAAACATGTGTTTAAGAATAGAAACAACACAGAAGCTTTGGTTAGCACTTAGGAATTTGTAACATTGTTTATTGTTTCATACAATTCTTTCATTTTCCTTGAAAATGGTTCCTCATGTGAGTTTTTGTAGGTTTTAATTACTTGTGACACCCTAAATTGTCTCAATCAACCTTCTATTTCTTGCCCTCTTGAATCGTTGATCCTGCTTATTTCGTAAAATTATTAGGAAATCTGCTATCTTGATCATAGAATTAAATCCGTGTTTTTTTTGCAAGGAAGCATGAACAGAGTGATAGTAAATGAAAAAATGTTTTACCAATTATCTAACCAATTAACTAAAAAGACCGACTGGTATAAGGTGGTAAAAACTACAACTAACACTCAACTCTTTCCCTAACTAAAAACTACAACTAACACTCAACTCTTTCCCTAACTCATGTAAAAAATGTGGAGAAGTTCAATTCAAAGGAGCCACGTATCGATTATGGCCTTGGGTATTTATGTAACACTACTTTTTAACTTGAGGTTTCCAGTAGCTCAAATCCACTGATTCATTTGGTACTTACTCATTGAGGAGAGCGAAAAATTCATATAAAAACAAGAAGATCAATATGATCACGAGGAAGATCAGTTTAATATTTTTAATTCTCGTACTTATCACGATACAATCTGGTGAGGATTTTACTTCTTTTTTTTGAATTCGTTTGCACATTTGGGTCAACTTTGTTTGTAGGATCAATATTTATCGTGTTTTCGATTCCTAATGTGTCTGTAGGTGTTATACTTGGAGTCGATGTTGATCGTCGGAGTTGTTTTTGGAATTCGGATTGCCGTAAACTTTGCCCGGAAGCTACCGAAGTTTGGTGTGATATTATCCACGGAATATGCAACTGTAACAGTTAAACAACTCACCGGGTAGGCAAAGGTCCGGGTCGCAGCCCAAATTTTCAGAAAGAAATCTGCAACTTTTGGTCTGTAACAGATACATTTAGTAGAGCCCAAATTAAATCTATGTATAAGCAGTTTGCAGTAAAATATGGTACACGGATCAGATGCGAAAGAAAAATTAAAGCCCTTGCAAGTATCATGGGCCTTTGGTCTACATTGTAGTTTATTTTTTGTTGGTCGGCGCTAGCTAATTAGGCCCATTCTCAATGATGACAGGCATAATTCTAGTTCATTAAAGTAAATAATACAAAAAAAAAATTTCGTTTTCTTTTTTTTAAGTGTAAAAGGGAGATTTAAAACCATTTTTTAAAATTTTTTTTTTCACATTTCATGTTGATTTTTTGTGCTCATATCTAATAATCTAAACCTTCATTAAATACACATTTGAGATGACACAATTACAATATTTGTCTTTCTTTTCCCCGTTCTATCATAATCATGTTTAGTAATTTAATCTTAAAACATTAGTCTGGTAAACAAAAAGACAGACAAGAATGGCGAAACATGTATTACCAATGTTTCAAATACGATATGACCTATGCGTCATAATTAGAAATTGAATTATTGTACTACAAACTACAAAGGCTCTTTGGGCGGCCAGCAAATATTAATTGTTGCCGTTTACAATTCATCACATCTTTTTTAGTAATTTAATTTAGGTTTCAAGATATTGCACATGGACGGTCTCAATGCCTCATTGCTCTATGCGCCAGCGTACGGCGTACCACATTTATCTGTTCCATCAACCACTATTATATCCTTTCTCTGCATTTGCCTCTTTCGCTGTACCTTTCATTAATAAAAAATAAAATAAAATTTAATCCTACAAGTTCGGAATTTACTAGGAAACATATATAAAGACTCTGATTACGTAATCTTAAAGTAAGACTCAGGTCCTCCCTAATTGAACTGATGAAATTTTAAACATTTTTTCCAGACCATAAAGCAGTGGTGAAGATAAGGGGGGAGTGATGCAATCGCATCTGTTCAATTTTTTTCTAATTAATAAAGATATCTTAAATTTTTTAATAGAAAACTAATTATTTAAAGTATAATTTTTCGTACTCGCCTAACACTCCAAATCAAATAACGAGAACTAAACTAATGCGAAAGCGTACCCGAATCCATTGTGAATGAATAATTTCTTCAGGTTTGGTTTGATCTTCCAGATGATTTCTTTAACCGGGTAAAAAACGTGAGTTCTCAAATTGACAAATGGGAAGGCAGTTTTTGACGGCGTAAAGACTCACCCGGGGACCACAACCAGTTATATAGTAGTAGGGTTTCTTTTCCACCCATCACAGAAAAGAACCCTGGTCTTTTAGGTTTCTACACAATGATGTCCACAACTTTAACTTAATTAATAATTAGCCCAAAACTCTAGTTAATATAATTTAGATCACTTTAATTGGGCTATATTTTATGATAGCATATAATATACAATTATATATTTAGTGTATAAGTCCAAAATAACCTTACAATCTCCCACTTGGACTATACACCAAACATATTCTTTATAATTGTATATTACACTGTAAACTTAAGAGCGCGCATAATTTGCTATCATAATGTAACTTAAACAATCTCGTCCATTAATTATATTAGCATAGGATCAAAGGGGCAGTCGTTGCACGAATGACAACTAAACCCATCAGTGGTCACACACATTAATATAACTAATTGACATGGATCAAGTGTGGATGTGTAGCATAGAAATTACATGTAATGTGATCTGCAACATGTCTATTTCCAACTGATCCTATTTAATCTTTAGTGAGATCAAATATAAAATCAAAATGTAAGCACACCAAAATAAAACTTTAGAACTTTAAACTGTATGCTTTATGTTGCAGCATTAAAACCAAATATCCATAAACAAAACATAAATTACAAATTCCCACTGATCTGATATATCCTAAGACAAAAGAACACCCATTTGAGCAGTGTGCTCAAGAAAGACTTTGGGTGGTAAACCCTTGGTAAATGGATCGGCAATATTGGAGTTTGTCCCAATGTGCTCTATAGAAATCTGACCATTCTGAATTCTTTCTCTAACAACTAGGTACTTAATGTCTATATGCTTATACTTGGTAGAGCTCCTATTGTTGTTAGAAAATTCAACAGCTACTTTATTGTCACAAAATAATCTAAGTGGTCTGTCAACACCATCTATAACTTGCAGCCCCGTGACAAAGTTTCACAACCATATTGCATGATTGGATGCCTCAAAACAAGCTATATATTCAGCTGCCATAGTTGAAGTAGCTATAAGTGTTTGTTTAACACTTTTCCAGAAACAGCTCCTCCGGCTAACATGTAAATGTAGCCTGAAGTGGATCTGAAACTGTTAGGGCATCCATTATAATCTGAGTCGGAGTACCCAATGATCTCTAACTGATCCGACCTCCTATATGTGAGCATATGATCTTTAGTTCCTCGAAGATACCGCATAACCCTTCTAGCTGCTGTCCAGTGATCCAAACCTGGATTGCTTAAAAATCTGCCTAAAACTCCAGTAATGTACGCTATATCTGGACGTGTACAAATCATAGATACATAAGACTTCCTATAGCCGAAGCATAAGGAACCTTTTGCATTTCCTTTTTCTCAAAATCATTCTTAGGGCATTGTTCGAGACAAAATTTGTCTCCTTTAGAAACTGGGGTATCACATGGTTTACTATTTTGCATTCCAAATCTCTTAAGAACTTTTTCGATATAGGTCTTTTGTGACAACTGAAGTATGCCCCGGGAGCGATCCCGGAGTATCTGAATACCTAACACAAAAGAAGCGTCACCAAGATCTTTCATTTCAAAATTCTTTGATAGAAATTTCTTGGTTTCGTGCAATAAGCCTATATCGTTGCAGGCTAGTAGTATGTCATCAACATACAGAACCAGGAAAATGTGCTTACTCCCAATGAACTTGTGATATACACAATCTTCCACCAAATTTACCTCAAAACCAAAAGAGGTTATAACTTGATGAAATTTGCGATACCATTGATGGGATGCCTGTTTAAGCCCATAGATGGATTTCTTTAGTTTGCAAACCATGTGCTCTGAATCTTTAGAAACAAAGTTTTCAGGTTGCATCATATAAATCGTTTCATCAATGTCTCTATTAAGAAACATTGTCTTAACATCTATCTGATGTAGCTCAAGATCAAAATGTGCCACTAGTGCCATTAAAATCCTAAAAGAGTCTTTCGATGATACTGGAGAGAAAGTCTCTGTATAGTCGATGCCTTCCTTCTGAGTAAATCCTTTAGCGACAAGACGAGCCTTATATCTTTCCACATTACCTTTTGAATCCCTTTTGGTCTTAAATATCCATTTGCAACCAATGGGTTTCGCACCTTTAGGCAATGTGACAAGATCCCAAACGTCATTGTCTCTCATGGATTTAATTTCCTCATTCATGGCATCAATCCACTTTTGAGAATTGGTACTTTTAATGGCTTGACTAAAGTTGATTGGATCATCTTCAGTCAATCCACTATTTTCCTCATGTTCAAGGAGAAAGACAACATAGTCATCTGGAATTGCATTTCTCCTTTCTCTAGTGGACCTCCTTAATGGCATTTGTTCTTGAGGCTGTTGAGTTTGATATTCAGGAATATCCTGTTGACCTTGATGAGGGAAATCATCATTGCCTTGCATCTCTTGAACTGTTTCAGGAACAATCTCAGGGATAACAACTTTAGGAAGAGAAACTAATTCCTCTTCAAGGACAAAATCTTTAACTTTATCTTCCCCTCCAAACTCAATATCCTCAAAGAACTGGGCATTTCCCGTCTCAAAGAAGGACTTACTTTTGGGATCATAAAACTTATATCCCCTAGACCTTTCAGCGTACCCAACAAAATAGCAACTAATCGTTCTTGAGTCCAGTTTCTTTTCATTAGGCCTATAAGGCCTTGCCTCAGCTGGACAACCCCAAATGTGTAAGTGATTAATACTGGGCTTTTTGCCAGTCTATAATTCATAAGGAGTTTTGACTGTTGCTTTAGTTGGAACTCTGTTAAGAATGTATGTTGCAGTTTTTAATGCCTCTCTCCAAATCAAGTTTGGCAAAGTAGTACGATTAATCATACTCCTCACCATATCCTTTAGTGTCCTGTTTCGTCTTTCAGCAACACCATTCATAGTAGGACTACCAGGCATGGTGTACTATGGGACGATTCCACACTCATCTAGGAATTTGGCAAATGGGCTCGGACGTTGTTCACCTGATCC